AACTGCTTAAGACTGGCAGCTGATCTGTCCTTGCTTGGTATCTTGCTCCAAAGTATTGGACCTGCATGTAGGTATCGAATTGAGTGTTTTCCGTGCGTAACTGTGTTAAAACTACAATCACAAACAAAAGTAGTTGGGAAGGTTGTACAACTAAACAGTAGTCCATTTTAATCCTGAAAAAAGAGAGTTTTCTCTTTTGCTAAATATCCCCTGTCCCCCCTATTCAATGTTGGGATATAACAGAACAATTACGCGCACAAACATTAACGTTTTGATCAACATTGGGCCAGGGTCAGGGGTAGGAAGGAAAAGAAGAGGTAAAAAAGGCAACCTTCCCAACACTTTTGACGATGATTGTAGGTTTCGATGTTGCCATGACATCATTTTCAAGTGACAATGAGAAAAACCTGACTTAATATATAAGGTTTACAGTGACAAAAATTAATAAAGGACAAAAGTAATATGTTTGCACATGTAAATGAAAAAAAAGGGGACATATGTTAAACAAACAGTTTTCCCAGGATGAAGTCTTGAAAGTCCTTAAAATAACCTTGTCTATGCTAGACAACTTAATTTTCTGTGAAATTAGATTATTTTCCTGAGGAAAATTTGCCTCGTCCTTGGTGTAAGAAACTGCAGTAAAACTCACAACGGGTAATGTAAAAACATTTTTGTGCATGAACAATATGTCATAATAATAGTAATAAATACTTTATTTATACTACAAAAAATAGATCAGCGGAGTATTAAAAAAACAGCTGGTACATTCCCACATGTATGTGCAGCAATAAAATCTTTAAGATTAAAAAAATGAGAATACAGTAAAAAAGCAGAAGGACTAATATAAACAATAAAAAAGGTGCATGTGAAGAAAAGTAAATAAATAAAATGAATTAATCTACAATCTATANAATTAAGAAAAGCTAAAATTACGAATTGCAAAGATAGCAGCCACTACATCCATCTAAAATGTTACTTAAATCAAGGCTGCGTATCCGGGTCTTAAACTGCTTAAGACTGGCAGCTGATCTGTCCTTGCTTGGTATCTTGCTCCAAAGTATTGGACCTGCATGTAGGTATCGAATTGAGTGTTTTCCGTGCGTAACTGTGTTAAAACTACAATCACAAACAAAAGTAGTTGGGAAGGTTGTACAACTAAACAGTAGTCCATTTTAATCCTGAAAAAAGAGAGTTTTCTCTTTTGCTAAATATCCCCTGTCCCCCCTATTCAATGTTGGGATATAACAGAACAATTACGCGCACAAACATTAACGTTTTGATCAACATTGGGCCAGGGTCAGGGGTAGGAAGGAAAAGAAGAGGTAAAAAAGGCAACCTTCCCAACACTTTTGACGATGATTGTAGGTTTCGATGTTGCCATGACATCATTTTCAAGTGACAATGAGAAAAACCTGACTTAATATATAAGGTTTACAGTGACAAAAATTAATAAAGGACAAAAGTAATATGTTTGCACATGTAAATGAAAAAAAAGGGGACATATGTTAAACAAACAGTTTTCCCAGGATGAAGTCTTGAAAGTCCTTAAAATAACCTTGTCTATGCTAGACAACTTAATTTTCTGTGAAATTAGATTATTTTCCTGAGGAAAATTTGCCTCGTCCTCGGTGTAAGAAACTGCAGTAAAACTCACAACGGGTAATGTAAAAACATTTTTGTGCATGAACAATATGTCATAATAATAGTAATAAATACTTTATTTATACTACAAAAAATAGATCAGCGGAGTATTAAAAAAACAGCTGGTACATTCCCACATGTATGTGCAGCAATAAAATCTTTAAGATTAAAAAAATGAGAATACAGTAAAAAAGCAGAAGGACTAATATAAACAATAAAAAAGGTGCATGTGAAGAAAAGTAAATAAATAAAATGAATTAATCTACAATCTATATTTATGCTGTGTTATGTCTTGTTCTTGCAAATACTTAAATGTTTTTCCTTTAAAATATCCTAAAGTTAGGCCATCAGTCCATGATTTATTGGGTAACTCATTCCAATTCTGTGCTCCTGTAAGTTTTAAAGTAGACTGGCCAATAGTGGATTTTACTTTAGGCAGATGAATTTCTTGTCTATCTCTTAAGGTCCTACCACGGCATTCGGATCTCATGGTCACATAATAATAATTATGAAGTTACGTAGGACAATACTGATTGTTAACACGTTTGAACACTAGCTGAAGACGGACAAATCTTTGTCTACTAGATAGTCTTAAAAGTCCTAGTTTGTCTCTCATCATTTGTGAACAAGTCAGGTGGTTTGCCGTTAAGATAGTCCCCATAGCTTTGTTTTTTAGTTGTTCTAAAAAATCAGAGTTCTTCTTGAGCAGGATCCGCATATAATACAACCTTAATCTAAAATAGGTAAAATTGTCACTTTATAAATCTTCAAAAGGGTAGTTGGAAAGGACAGAATCTTACTCAGCAGCTTAAGGTGGCTCGATACAGTTTTTCAGGGTCAATACGTCCCAAGTTTGAGCATAAACTACCTCGCCATAAACAAAGATTTGGAAAAATTGACGCCACATTTGTATCCGATAAAGATAAAAATTTGCTATGATTAAGGTTGCAATACCATTAGGGTTGTCATAGCAATGAAATGACGCTATTACCTATTTTAATTCAAGCAGTATTTCTCGACACTGGGAACTGTTCTTCCAAAATGGTTTACAGGAGCTTGTTTTTGTCACTGTTGTCACTAATGTCGCTATTGCCACTGTTGTCACTATTGTGGCTGTTGTCACTGTTCTCACTATTAACACTGTTGTTGCTGCTGTCGCTGTTGTCGCTGTTGTCAGTGTTGTCACTGTTGTCACTGTCAACATTGTTGTCACTGTTGTCATTGTTTTTACTGTTGTCGCTGTTGTCACTGTTGTCACTGTTTTCGCTAATTTTAATGTTATAGCTGCTGTTGCTGTTGTCACAGTTGTCGCTGTTGTCGGTGTTGTCACTGTTGTCGCTGTTTTCGGTGTTGTCACTGTTGTTGCTGTTGTCACTGTTGTCGCTGTTGTCGCTAATGTCACTGTGGTCGCTGTTGTGGTTGTTGTCACTGTTGCCGCTGTTGCCGCTGTTGTCACTGTTGTAACTGTTGTCGCTGTTGTCACTGTTGTGGCTGTTCTCGCTGTTGTCACTGTTGCTGCTGTTCTCGCCGTTCTAAAAGTTTTCACTGTTTTTACTGTTGTTGCTGCTGTCGCTGTTGTCGCTGTTGTCACTGTTGTCACTGTTGTCACTGTCGTCACTGTTGTCACTATTGTCATTGTTTTTACTGTTGTCTCTGTTGTCACTTTTGTCACTGTTGTCACTTTTGTCACTGTTGTCGCTGTTGTCACTGTTGTCACTGTTGTCGCTGTTGTCACTGTTGTCGCTGTTGTCATTGTTGTCACTGTTGTCACTGTTTTCACTGTTGTCACCGTTGTCACTGTTGTCACCGTTGTCGCTGTTGTCACTCTTGTCACCGTTGTCATCGTTGTCACTGTTATTACGATTGTCACCGTTGTCATCGTTTTCACTATTGTCACTGTTGTCACCGTTGTCATTGTTTTCACCGTTGTCATCGATGTCACTGTTGTCACTTTTGTCACCGTTGTCACAGTTTTCACCATTGTAATCGTTGTCACCCTTGTCACTGTCATCATCGTTGTTACTGTTGTCAACGTTGTCACAGTTGTCAGCGTTGACATCGTTGTAACTGTTGCAACCGATATCACTGTTGTCACCGTTGTCACTGTTGTCACTGTTGTCATCATTGTCACAGTTGTCACATTGGTCATCGTTGTCACTGTTGTTACTGTTGTCACCGTTGTCATTGTTGTCACAGTTGTCACTGTTGTCACCGTTGTCACCGTTGTCACCGTTGTCACTGTTGTCACCGTTGTCAATGTTGTCACTGTTTTCACTTTTGTCACCGATCTCACTGTTGTCACTGTTGTCACTGTTGTCACTGTGTTCACCGTTGTCGCTGTTGTCACCGTTGTCACCTTTGTCACCGTTGTCACTGTTGTAACTGTTGTCACTGTTTTAAGCGTTGTCACCGTTGTCTTCGTTGTCACCGTTGTCATCGTTGTCACCCTTGTCACTGTCATCACCGTTGTCACTGTTGTCAGCGTTGTCATCGTTGTCACTGTTGTCAATGTTGTCACCATTGTCACTGTTGTCACCGTTGTCACCGTTGTCATCGTTGTCACTGTTGTCACCGTTGTCACCGTTGTCACTTTTGTCACTTTTGTCCCTGTTGTCACCGTTGTCACTGTTGTCATCGTTTTCACTGTTGTCATCGTTGTCACCGTTTTTATCGTTGTCACCGTTGTCATCGTTTTCACTGTTGTCACTGTTGTCACCTTTTTCACCGTTTTCACTGTTGTCACTGTTGTCACCATTGTCACCGTTGTCATCGTTGTCACCGTTGTAATTGTTTTCACTGTTGTCTCTGTTGTCACCGTTTTCACCGTTGTCACCTTTGTCACCGTTGTCATTGGTGTCACTGTTGTAACTGTTGTCACTGTTTTAACCGTTGTCACCGTTGTCACCATTGTCACCGTTGTCATCGTTGTCACCGTTGTAATTGTTTTCACTGTTGTCTCTGTTGTCACTGTTGTCACCGTTGTCACCTTGTCAATGTTGTCATCGTTGTCACTGTTGTCACCGTTGTCACCTTGTCAATGTTGTCATCGTTGTCACTGTTGTCACCGTTGTCACTGTTGTCACTGTCGTCACCGTTGTCACCGTTGTGATTGTTGTCACTGTTGTCACCGTTGTTAATGTTTTTACCATTTTCACTGTTGTCACTGTTGTCACTGTTGTCACCGTTCTCACAGTTGTCACTGTTGTCACTGTTATTACCGTTCTCATTGTTGTCACCGTTGTCACTGTTGTCACTGTTGTCACCGTTGTCATTGTTCCCGCCGTTGTCATCGATGTCACTGTTGTCACCGTTGTAACAGTTTCACCATTGTGACCGTTAGCACCGTTGTTACCGTTGTAATCGTTGTCACCCTTGTCACTGTCATCACCGTTGTCACTGTTGTCATCATTGTCACTGTTGTCACCGTTGTCACCGTTGTCACCGTTGACATCGTTGTCATCGTTTTCACTGTTGTCACCGTTGTCATCGTTGTCGCTGTTGTCACCGTTGTCATCGTTTTCACTGTTGTCATCGTTGTCACCGTTGTCACCGTTGTCATCGTTGTCACCGTTGTCACCGTTGTCATCGTTGTCACTGTTGTCACCGTTGTCACGGTTGTCACTGTTTTTATCGTTGTCACCATTGTCATCGTTTTCACTGTTGTCATTGTTGTCACCTTTTTCACCGTTGTCACTGTTGTCACTGTTGTCACCATTGTCACCGTTGTCATCGTTATCACCGTTGTAATCGTTTTTACTGTTGTCTCTGTTGTCACCGTTTTCATCGTTGTCACCGATGTCATGGTTGTCACCGTTGTGATCGTTGTCACCGTTGTGATCGTTGTCACTGTGTGATCGTTGTCACCGCTGTCACCGTTGTCATTGTTTTCACTGTTGTAACTGTTGTCACCGTTGTCATCGTTATCACCGTTTTCACAGTTGTCTTCGTTGCCACAGTTGTCATCAATGTCACTGTTGTCACCGTTGTCACTCTTGTCACCATTGTCACTATTGTCATCTTTGTCACCGTTGTCATCGTTGTCACTGTTGTTACTGTTGTCACCGTTGTCATTGTTGTCACCGTTGTCACTGTTGTCACCTTTGTTACTGTTGTCACCGTTGTCATCGTTGTCACCGTTGTCATCGTTGTCACTGTTGTTACTGTTGTGACCGTTGTCATTGTTGTCACCGTTGTCATTGTTGTCACCGTTGTCACTGTTTTCACTGTTCTCACCGTTGTCACTGTTGTCACTGTTGTCACCGTTGTCGTTGTTGTCACTCTTGTCAACGTTGTCATCGTTGTCACTGTTATTATGATTGTCACCGTTGTCATCGTTTTCACTATTGTCACTGTTGTCATCGTTGTCATTGTTTTCACCGTTGTCATTGATGTCACTGTTGTCACTGTTGTCACCGTTGTCACCGTTGTCACAGTTTTCACCATTGTAATCGTTGTCACCCTTGTCACTGTCATCATCGTTTTCACTGTTGTCACCGTTGTCACAGTTGTCAGCGTTGTCACCGTTGACATCGTTGTCACTGTTGCAACCGATGTCACTGTTGTCAGCGTTGTCACTGTTGTCACCGTTGTCATCATTGTCCCCGTTGTCACCGTTGTCATCGTTGTCACTGTTGTTACTGTTGTCACCGTTTTCACCGTTGTCACCGTTGTCAGCGTTGTCTTTTGGGTCACCGTTGTCACTGTTGTCACCGTTGCCACTGTTGTCACCGTTGTCACCTTTGTCACCGTTGTCATTGTTGTCACAGTTGTAACATTTCTAACTTTTTTAACCGTTGTCACCGTTGTCTTCGTTGTCACTGGTGTCACCGTTGTCACCTTGTTAACGTTGTCACTGTTGTCACCGTTGTCACTGTTGTCACCATTGTCACCGTTGTCAGCGTTGTCATCGTTGTCACTGTTGTCACCGTTGTCACCGTTGTCACTTTTGTCACTGTTGTCCCTGTTGCCACCGTTGTCACTGTTGTCACCGATGTCATCGTTGTCACCGTTGTCATCGTTGTCACTGTTGTTACTGTTGTCACCGTTGTCATTGTTGTCACCGTTGTCACTGTTTTCACTGTTGTCACCTTTATCACTGTTGTCACTGTTGTCACCGTTGTCGCTGTTGTCACTCTTGTCACCGTTGTCATCGTTGTCACTGTTATAAAGATTGTCACCGTTGTCATCGTTTTCACTATTGTCACTGTTGTCACCGTTATCATTGTTTTCACCGTTGTCATCGATGTCACTGTTGTCACTGTTGTCACCGTTGTCACAGTTTTCACTATTGTAATCGTTGTCACCCTTGTCACTGTCATCATCGTTGTCACTGTTCTCACCGTTGTCACAGTTGTCAGCGTTGTCACTGTTGCAACCGATGTCACTGTTGTCACCGTTGTCACTGATGTCACCTTTGTCATCATTGTCACTGTTGTCACCGTTGTCATCGTTGTCACTGTTGTTAGTGTTGTCACCGTTGTCATTGTTGTCACAGTTGTCACTGTTTTCAGTGATGTCACTGTTGTCACCGTTGTCAATGTTGTTAGTGTTTTCACTTTTGTCACCGATCTCACACTTGTCACTGTTGTCACCGTTGTCACTGTTGTCACCGTTGTTGCTGTTGTCACCGTTGTCACCTTTGTCACTGTTTTCATTGCTGTCACTGTTGTAACTGTTGTCACTGTTTTAACCGTTGTGATTGTTGTCTTCGTTGTCACTGTTGTCACCGTTGTCACTTTGTCAACGTTGTCATCGTTGTCACTGTTGTCACCGTTGTCACTGTTGTCACTGTTGTCACTGTTGTCTCCATTGTCACCGTTGTCACCGTTGTCACTGTTGTCACCGTTGTCACTTTTGTCATTGTTGTCCCTGTTATCACCGTTGTCATCATTGTCACTGTTTTCACCGTTCTCATTGTTGTCACTGTTGTTACTGTTGTCACCGTTTTCATTGTTGTCACTGTTTTCACCGTTGTCACTTTTGTCACCGTTGTCGTCGTTGTCACCGTTGTCATCGTTGTCACTGTTATTACCGTTGTCACCATTGTCATAGTTGTCACTGTTGTCACTGTTGTCACCGTTGTCATTGTTGTCACCGTTGTCATCGATGTCACTGTTGTCACCGTTGTCACAGTTTTCATCATTGTCATTACCGTTGTAATCGTTGTCACTCTTGTCACTGTCATCACCGTTGTCACTGTTGTCACCGTTGTCACAGTTGTCACTGTTGTCACCATTGTCACAGTTTTCACCGTTGTCACCGTTGACATCGTTGTCACTGTTAGAACCCATGTCACTGTTGTCAATTTTGTCACCATTGTCATAGTTTTCACCGTTGTCACCGTTGACATCGTTGTCACTGTTAGAAGCCATGTCACTGTTGTCACTGTTGTCACCGTTGTTATTTTTGTCATTGTTTTCACTGTTGTCACCGTCGTTACAGTTGTCATCGGTGTCACTGTTGTCACCGTTGTCACTGTTTTTTCCGTTGTCACTGTTGTCACCGTTGTCACCGTTGTCACCGTTGTCATCGTTGTCATCGTTGTCACTGTTTTCACCGTTGTCACCGTTGTCATCGTTGTCACTTTTGTCATCGTTGTCACCGTTGTCACCATTGTCATCGTGGTCACTGTTGTCACCGTTGTCACTGTTGTCACGGTTCTCACTGTTTTTATCGTTGTCACTGTGTCATCGTTGTCACTGTTGTCACTGTTGTCACCTTTTAAATCGTCACTGTTGTCACTTTTGTCACCGTTGTCACCGTTGTCATCGTTGTAACCGTTGTCACCGTTGTAATCGTTTTCACTGTTTTCTCTGTTGTCACCGTTGTGATCGTTGTCACCGTTGTGATCGTTGTCACTGTTGTGACCATTGTCATCGTCGTCACTGTTTTTACCGTTGTCATCGCTTTCTCCGTTTTTACCGTTGTAATCGTTTTCACCGTTGTCTCTGTTGTCACCGTTTTTACCGTTGTCATTGTTGTCACTGTTGTAACTTTTTTCACGGTTGTCATCGTTGTCATTGTTGTCACCGTTGTCTTCGTTGTCACAGTTGTCATCGTTGTCACCTTGTCAATGTTGTCATCGTTGTCACTGTTGGCACCGTTGTCACTGTTGTCACCGTTGTCACCATTGTCACCGTTGTCACCGTTGTCATCGTTGTCACTGTTGTCACCGTTGTTACCGTTGTCACTGTTGTCACCGTTGTCACTGTTGTCACCGTTGTCATCGTTGTCACCGTTGTCATCGTTGTCACTGTTGTTACTGTTGTCACCGTTGTCATTGTTTTCACCGTTGTCACTGTTTTCAGTGTTGTCACTGTTGTCAATGTTGTCACCGTTGTCGCTGTTGTCACTCTTGTCACCGTTGTCACCATTGTCACAGTTTTCACCTTTGTAATCGTTGTCACCCTTGTCACTGTGATCATCGTTTTCACTGTTGTCACCATTGTCATCGTTGTCACTTTTGTCACTGTTGTCACCGTTGTCACAGATAGGGTAAGATAGGGTAACAAAGAGTAACACAGGGAAACGCAGAGTGACACAGGATAACACGGAGTAACACAGGGTAGCAAAGGGTAACAAAGAGTAACAAAGGGTAACACAGGGTGACACAGGGTAACACAGGATCACACAGAGTAACAAAGGGCAACACAGGGTAACAAAGGGGTAAAACAGAATAACACAAGGTAACACAAGGCAACACAGAGTAATGAGGGTAATGAGGTAAATGAGGGTAAGATAGGGTAACACAAGATAACAAAAAGTAACACAGGGTAAGAGAGGGGAACACAGGGTAACAAAGGGTAACAGAGGGAAACACAGAGTAACACAAGGAAACAGAGTAACACAGGGTAACACAAGGTAACACAGGGAAACACAGGTTAACACAGGGTAACACAGGATAACACAGAGTAACACAGGGTAACAAAGGGTAAAACAGGGTAACACAAGGTAACAAAAGGTAACACAGGGTAACAAAGGGTAACAGAGGGAAAGACAGAGTAACACAAGGTAACACAGAGTAACACAGGGTAACACAAGGTAACACAGGGAAACACAGAGTAACAGAGGGTAACACAGGATAACACAGAGTAACACAGGGTAACAAAGGGTAAAACAGGGTAACCAGGGTAACAAAGGGTAACAGAGACAACACAGAGTAACACAAGGTAACACAAGGTAACACAGGGTAACACAGGGTGACACAAGGTAACACAACAACAACAACAACATAAGCTTTATTTACATGACTATAATTATGTAGGTACAGTATTGCCAAAGCTTTAACATAAAGTTAAAATTTATAACAATGATAATGCAATGCAATGATTACTACAGTCAATCAAATGTCATCAGCATGATTTGATAACAAATTAGTACGTAAATCATTACATAATAAGACAAATTTCAACAAATGTGAATTTACCGAAAAATTATGTGAATTCATTAGTTTAATTATTAATTCTGTGTAAGATAGCTGATTAAAGTCGACAAAATTTTGTTGGATTTGATTTTAGAATTTCTCCCTTGGGATTGAATATCTTGGACAATGGAAAAGAAAATGAAATTCGTCTTTAATTATACCAGAGTTACAAATAGGGCAGAATCTATCGTTGCAGGAAGTTTGATTATATCTTCCAGTTTCCTTCATGAGTTTGTGTGTTACACAGGGCAGCTCGTTTTTCATCCCTCCCCACAAATGCCTGCTCATCCGAAGACAACATTCCTTTCCCATGCTTAGCCAATCACATTGTACTTTTCAAATTCTCGAAAGTTAACCTTGACTGTAAGGTAATCTGATAATTACTCAATCTGCATGAAACACTGGGAAAACCTTCTAACCTCCAATAAATGTTAGATTTCGAGCGGCAAAAATAAGATTTAATCAAATTTTAGAATACTCCATGCACTTCATAACCTTAATGAAGGAAAGAAAAGAAGGAAAAAGGTAACTGTAGGTCACGTTTTAGTCGCGTTTAGCCTGTCAACACCTTATTGCACAACTGTTTATTGGTCATTTACCACGCAAATAAAACAATGGGAAAGGAATGTTGTTTCCGGCTGAACAGGCGTTTCTGGGGAGGGATGAAAAACGAGCTCCACTTAAAACGCCTGCGTGGGAGGCTAAGGGCAACACAGCCTAACAGAGGGTAACATAAGGTAACAAAGAGTAACGGGAAACAAAGAGTAACAGAGGGTAACACAGGGTCACACAGGGTAACAAAGGGTAACACAGGGTAACACAGAGTAACACAGTGTAACACAAGGTAACACAGGGAAACACAGAGTAACAGAGGGTAGCATAAGGTAACAAAGAGTAACGCAGGGTAACACAAGGTAACACAGGGAAAAAAAGAGTAACAGAGGGTAACAAAGGGTAACGCAGGGTAACACAGGGTAACAAAGGGTAACAGGGTAAGACAGGGTAACAAAGGGTAACACAGGTACAGTACCGTTCAAAAACAAGTTGACAGTCCATTGCGAGAATCGAGAACAAACTATCGAGAATCGAGTCGAGGATCCAGTCTTGCAGGACAGAAAACAAAAGATTCACCCATGACTGGAGAATTTTGTACGGCTATAACACAACGCCGCATGGGTATACAGTCGACTCCTGATAACTGGAACCCTCACTAACTCGAACCTCGCGCTAACTCGAACCAAAATCGATTTTGCCCTGGATTTCCGTCATTTCACTGCAATTTTACCCTCGGTAACTCGAACCCCACTATAACTCGAACTCCCGCTTACACGAACCAATTTTCGTTTCCCCTTAGGTCATTTTCTATATGATTTTACCCTCGATAACTCGAACCATGTTTTGAGCTCTTAAAAAGTCGGGAAAAAAGCCGTCTACTGGCGTCCGAAACATAGAATTTTGGAATTCCGATTGACGTGTTGTAGGAGTATAGTTTACTAGTGGAGGCTAATGCAGATGGTCACAGGCTAATATGAAGCAGTTTTACTTCTCAAAACAGAAAACGCATGCTCTATTTAGGCTTTGTTTTGTTACGTTACGTTCTCATTTATAATCTAGAAGTATTTTTTAATTTTCACTCGATATTTCTACAATTAAATGTGATTAAAATGTTCACTGTGCAGTAAAAACTGTTTTTTACCTTACTCTCGGCTATTTTCTTCGAGCTCCCGATAACTCGAACTTTTTTCGATTTCCCTTGAAGGTTCGAGTTATGGGAAGTCGATTCTATTCCTGCCGGAGACTGTATACTCGAAATAAGACCAGTTCAAGTTATAAAGCGAATGTTTCGTTAAGGACATCTGTATCACGCTTTACTTCCTCAAATAAAGTTTGAAGTGCCTGCTCCAAATGAATACAAACAGTGCATACTCGCGTACAAGCAAGAGCATGTTTATTTTGTAACGTCCAACGATTCTGGGCTTATCCGGCCGTTGTCATCGATGTCACTGTTGTCACCGTTGTCACAGTTTTTACCATTGTAATCGTTTTCACCCTTGTCACTGTCATCACCGTTTTCACTGTTGTCACCATTGTCATCGTTGTCACTGTTGTCACTGTTGTCACCGTTGTCACCATTGTCACAGTTGTCACGGTTGTCATCGTTGACATCAATGTCACTGTTCGAACCGATGTCACTGTTGTCACCGTTATTATCGTTGTCACCGTTCTCACCGTTCTCACCGTCGTCACCATCGTCATCGTTTTCGCTGTTGTCACCGTTGTCACCCTTGTCACTGTTGTCATCGTTGTTACTGTTGTCACTGTTGTCACCATTGTCATTGTTGTCACCGTTGTTATCGATGTCCCTGTTGTCACTGTTGTCGCCGTTGTCAGCGTTGTCCTTGTTATTACCGTTGTCACCGTTGTCATCGTTGTAACTGTTGTCACCAGTTTCATTGTTGTCACGGTTGTCATCGATGTCACTGTTGTCACCGTTGTCACAGTTTTTACCATTGTAATCGTTTTCACCCCTGTCACTGTCATCACCGTTTTCACTGTTGTCACCATTGTCATCGTTGTCACTGTTGTCACTGTTGTCACCATTGTCACAGTTGTCACGGTTGTCACCGTTGACATCGTTGTCACTGTTCGAACCGATGTCACTGTTGTCACCGTTATTACCGTTGTCACTGTTGTCATCGTTGTCACTGTTGTCACCGTTGTCACTGTTGTCACCGTTGTCACCATTGTCACCGTTGTCACCTTTCTCACTGTTGTCATCGTTGTCACTGTTGTCAGCGTTGTCAACGTTGTCACTGTTGTCACCATTGTCACTGTTGTCACCGTTGTCATCTTTGTCACCGTTGTCACCGTTGTCATTGTTGTCACTGTTGTTACTGTTGTAACCGTTGTCATTGTTGTCACCGTTGTCATTGTTGTCACTGTTGTCACCGTTGTCGCCGTTGTCACTCTTGTCACCCTTGCCATCGTTGTTACTGTTATTACCATTGTCACCGTTGTCATCGTTTTCACTATTGTGACTGTTTTCACTGTTGTCACTGTTGTCACTTTTGTCACCATCGTCGCCGTTGTCACTCTTGTCGCCCTTGCCACCGTTGTCATTGTTGTCACCGTTGACACTGTTTTCACTGTTGTCACCGTTTTCACTGTTGACACCGTTGTTACTGTTGTCACCCTTGTCGCCGTTGTCACTTTTGTCACCGTTGTCATCATTGTCACTGTTATTACCGTTGTCACCGTTGTCATCGTTGTTACTGTTGTCACTGTTGTCACCATTGTCATTGTTGTCACCGTTGTCATCGATGTCACTGTTGTCACCGTTGTCACCGTTTTCACCATTGTAATCGTTGTCACTCTTGTCACTGTCATGACCGTTGTCACTGTTGTCACCGTTGTCATCGTCATCACTGTTATTACTGTTGTCACCGTTGTCACTGTTGTCACCGTTGTCATTGTTGTCAATGTTGTCATCGATGTCACTGTTGTCACTGTTGTCACCGTTGTCACAGTTTTCACCATTGTAATCGTTGTCACGCTTTTGACTGTCATCACCGTTGTCACTATTGTGACCGTTGTCACAGTTGTCACCGTTGTCACCGTTGACATCGTTGTCACTGTTGGAACCGATGTCACTGTTGTCACCGTTGTCATCGTTGTCACTGTTGTTACTGTGTTCACCGTTGTCATTGTTGTCACCGTTGTCACTCTTTTCACTGTTGTCATCGTTGTCACTGTTGTCACCCTTGTCACTTTTGTCACCGTTGTCATCGTTGTCACTGTTGTCACCATTGTCATCATTGTCACTGTTGTCACCGTTGTCACCGTTGACATCATTGTCACTGTTGGAACCGATGTCACTGTTGTCACCGTTGTCATCCCTGTCACTGTTGTTACTGTTGTCACCGTTGTCGCCATTGACATCATTGTCACTGTTGTCACCATTGTCATTTTTGTCACCGTTGTCATCGATGTCACTGTTGTCACCGTTGTCACAGTTTTCACCATTGTAATCGTTGTCACTCTTGTCACTGTCATGACCGTTGTCACTGTTGTCACCGTTGTCATCGTCGTCACTGTTATTACTGTTGTCACCGTTGTCCCCGTTGTCACCGTTGTCATTGTTGTCAACGTTGTCATCGATGTCACTGTTGTCACTGTTGTCACCGTTGTCACAGTTTTCACCATTGTAATCGTTGTCACGCTTTTCACTGTCATCACCGTTGTCACTATTGTCACTGTTGTCACAGTTGTCACCGTTGACATCGTTGTCACTGTTGGAACCGTTGTCACTGTTGTCACCGTTGTCATCGTTGTCCTTGTTATTACCGTTGTCACCGTTGTCATCGTTGTAACTGTTGTCACCGGTTTCATTGTTGTCACGGTTGTCATCGATGTCACTGTTGTCACCGTTGTCACAGTTTTTACCATTGTAATCGTTTTCACCCTTGTCACTGTCATCACCGTTTTCACTGTTGTCACCATTGTCATCGTTGTCACTGTTGTCACTGTTGTCATCGTTGTCACCATTGTCACAGTTGTCACGGTTGTCACCGTTGACATCGTTGTCACTGTTCGAACCGATGTCACTGTTGTCACCGTTATTATCGTTGTCACTGTTGTCACAGTTGTCACTGTTGTCACCATTGTCACTGTTGTTACCGTTGTCACTGTTGTCACCGTTCTCACTGTTCTCACCGTCGTCACCATCGTCATCGTTTTCGCTGTTGTCACCGTTGTCACCCTTGTCATTGTCATCACCGTTGTCACTGTTGTGACCGTTGTCTCTGTTGTCACCGTTGTCGCTTTTGTCGCTGTTGTCACTGTTGTCGCTGTTGTCGCCGGTTTTACTATTGTCACTGTTGTCGCTGTTGTCACTGTTGTTGCTGTTTTTACTTTTGTCACTGTTGTCAGTAATGTCAGTGTTGTCAGTGTTTTCACTGTAGTCGCTGTTGTCACTGTATTCACTGTTGTTACTGTTGTTGCTGTTGTTGCTTTTGTTGCTGTTGTCATTGTTGTCGCTGTTGTCACTGTTGTCAGTGTTGTCGCTGTTGTCGCTGTTGTTGCTGTTGTGACTGTTTTTACTGTTGTCGCTGTTGTCGCTGTTGTCGCTGTTGTCGCTGTTGTCGCTGTTGTTGCTGTTGTGACTGTTTTTACTGTTGTCGCTGTTGTCACTGTTGTCGCTGTTGTCACTCTTGTTGGTGTTGTGAAAGGGGAACATAGGGAAACAGAGTAACACAGGGTAACCAAGGGTAACAATCGGTAACACAGGGTAACAAAGAGTAACCCGAGGTAACACATGGCAACACAGAGTAACTAAGGGTAACATACGGTAAGATAAGGTAACACAGGGCAATACAGGGTAACACAGGGTAACACTAGGTAATACAGGGTAACACAGAGTACCACAGAGTAACACAGGTTAATACAAGGCAACACAAGGTAACACAGGGCAACACAGGGTAAGACAGGGTAACAGAGGGTAAGATAGGGTAACAAAGAGTAACACAGGGAAACTCAGAGTGACACAGGATAACACAGAGTAACACAGGGTAGCAAAGGGTAAAACAGGGTAACAAAGGGTAACAAAGAGTAACGTAGGGTGACACAGGGTAACACAGGATAACACAGAGTAACAAAGGGCAACACAGGGTAACAAAGGGGTAAAACAGAATAACACAAGGTAACACAAGGCAACACAGAGTAAATGAGGGTAAGATAGGGTAACACAAGATAAACAGTAACACAGGGTAAGAGAGGGGAACACAGGGTAACAAAGGGTAACAGAGGGAAACACAGAGTAACACAAGGAAACACAGAGTAACACAGGGTAACACAAGGTAACACAGGGAAACACAGGTTAACACAGGGTAACACAGGATAACACAGAGTAACACACGGTAACAAAGGGTAAAACAGGGTAACACAAGGTAACAAAAAGTAACACAGGGTAACAAAGGGTAACAGAGGGAAACACAGAGTAACACAAGGTAACACAGAGTAACAGGGTAACACAGGGAAACACAGAGTAACAGGGTAACACAGGATAACACAGAGTAACACAGGGTAACAAAGGGTAAAACAGGGTAACACAGGGTAACAAAGGGTAACAGAGACAACACAGTGTAACACAAGGTAACACAAGGTAACACAGGGTAACACAGGGTAACACAAGGAAACACAACAACAACAACAACATAAGCTTTATTTACATGACTATAATTATGTAGGTACAGTACTGCAAAAGCTTTAACATAAAGTTAAAATTTATAACAATGATAATGCAGTGCAATGATTACTACAGTCAATCAAATGTCATCAGCATGATTTGATAACAAATTAGTACGTAAATCATTACATAATAAGACAAATTTCAACAAATGTGAATTTACCGAAAAATTGTGTGAATTCATCAGTTTAATTATTAATTCTGTGTAAGATGGCTGANCTGTTTTTACTGTTGTCGCTGTTGTCGCTGTTGTCGCTGTTGTCGCTGTTGTCGCTGTTGTTGCTGTTGTGACTGTTTTTACTGTTGTCGCTGTTGTCACTGTTGTCGCTGTTGTCACTCTTGTTGGTGTTGTGAAAGGGGAACATAGGGAAACAGAGTAACACAGGGTAACCAAGGGTAACAATCGGTAACACAGGGTAACAAAGAGTAACCCGAGGTAACACATGGCAACACAGAGTAACTAAGGGTAACATACGGTAAGATAAGGTAACACAGGGCAATACAGGGTAACACAGGGTAACACTAGGTAATACAGGGTAACACAGAGTACCACAGAGTAACACAGGTTAATACAAGGCAACACAAGGTAACACAGGGCAACACAGGGTAAGACAGGGTAACAGAGGGTAAGATAGGGTAACAAAGAGTAACACAGGGAAACTCAGAGTGACACAGGATAACACAGAGTAACACAGGGTAGCAAAGGGTAAAACAGGGTAACAAAGGGTAACAAAGAGTAACGTAGGGTGACACAGGGTAACACAGGATAACACAGAGTAACAAAGGGCAACACAGGGTAACAAAGGGGTAAAACAGAATAACACAAGGTAACACAAGGCAACACAGAGTAAATGAGGGTAAGATAGGGTAACACAAGATAAACAGTAACACAGGGTAAGAGAGGGGAACACAGGGTAACAAAGGGTAACAGAGGGAAACACAGAGTAACACAAGGAAACACAGAGTAACACAGGGTAACACAAGGTAACACAGGGAAACACAGGTTAACACAGGGTAACACAGGATAACACAGAGTAACACACGGTAACAAAGGGTAAAACAGGGTAACACAAGGTAACAAAAAGTAACACAGGGTAACAAAGGGTAACAGAGGGAAACACAGAGTAACACAAGGTAACACAGAGTAACAGGGTAACACAGGGAAACACAGAGTAACAGGGTAACACAGGATAACACAGAGTAACACAGGGTAACAAAGGGTAAAACAGGGTAACACAGGGTAACAAAGGGTAACAGAGACAACACAGTGTAACACAAGGTAACACAAGGTAACACAGGGTAACACAGGGTAACACAAGGAAACACAACAACAACAACAACATAAGCTTTATTTACATGACTATAATTATGTAGGTACAGTACTGCAAAAGCTTTAACATAAAGTTAAAATTTATAACAATGATAATGCAGTGCAATGATTACTACAGTCAATCAAATGTCATCAGCATGATTTGATAACAAATTAGTACGTAAATCATTACATAATAAGACAAATTTCAACAAATGTGAATTTACCGAAAAATTGTGTGAATTCATCAGTTTAATTATTAATTCTGTGTAAGATGGCTGATTAAAGTCGACAAAATTTTGTTGGATTTGATGTAGAATTTCTTCCTTGGGATTGAATATTTTGGACAATGGAAGAGAAAATGAAATTCGTCTTTAATTATACCAGAGTTACAAATAGGGCAGAATCTATCGTTCCGGGAAGTTTGATTATATCTTCCAGTTTCCAGCATGAGTTTGTGTGTTACACAGGGCAGCTCGTTTTTCATCCCTCCCCACAAATGCCTGCTCATCCGAAGACAACATTCCTTTCCCATGCTTAGCCAATTACATTGTTCTTTTGAAATTCTGGAAAGTTAACCTTGACTGTAAGGTAATCTGATAATTACTCAATCTGCATGAAACACTGGAAAAACTTTCTAACCTCCAATAAGGGTTAGATTTCGAGCGGCAAAAATAAGATTTAATCAAATTTTAGAATACTCTATGCACCTGATAACCTTAATGAAGGAAAGAAAAGAAGGAAAACGGTAACTGTAGGGTCACGTTTTAGTCGCGTTTAGCCTGTCAACACCTTATTGCACAACTGTTTATTGGTCATTTACCACGCAAATAAAACAATGGGAAAGGAATGTTGTTTCCGGCTGAACAGGCGTTTGTGGGGAGGGATGAAAAACGTGCTCCACTTAAAACGCCTGCGTGGGAGGCTAAGGGCAACACAGCCTAACAGAGGGTAACATAAGGTAACAAAGAGTAACGGGAAACAACGAGTAACAGAGGGTAACACATGGTAACAAAGGGTAACACAGGGTAACACAGAGTAACACAGGGTAACACAAGGTAACACAGGGAAACACAGACTAACAGAGGGTAGCATAAGGTAACAAAGAGTAACGCAGGGTAACACAAGGTAACACAGGGAAACAAAGAGTAACAGAGGGTAACACAGGGTAACAAAGGGTAACGCAGGGTAACACAGGGTAACAAAGGGTAACAGGGTAAGACAGGGTAACAAAGGGTAACACAGGTACAGTACCGTTCAAAAGCAAGTTGACAGTCCATTGCGAGAATCGAGAACAAACTATCTAGAATCGAGTCGAGGATCGAGTCTTGCAAGACAGAAAACAAAAGATTCACGCATGACTGGATAATTTTGTACGGCTTTAACACAACGCCGCATGGGTATACAGTCGACTCCTGATAACTGGAACCCTCACTAACTCGAACCTCGCGCTAACTCGAACCAAAATGGATTTTCCCCTGGATTTCCGTCATGCATTCACTGCAATTTTACCCTCGGTAACTTGAACTCCCGCTTACAGGAACCAATTTTCGTTTCCCCTTAGGTCATTTTCTATATGATTTTACCCTCGATAACTCGAACCATGTTTTGAGCCCTTAAAAAGTCGGAAAAAAAGCCGTCTACTGGCGTCCGAAACATAGAATTTTGGAATTCCGATTGACGTGTTGTAGGAGTATAGTTTACTAGTGGAGGCTAATGCAGATGGTCACAGGCTAATATGAAGCAGCTTTACTTCTCAAAACAGTAAAACGCATGCTCTATTTAGGCTTTGTTTTGTTACGTTACGTTCTCATTTATAATCTAGAAGTATTTTTTAATTTTCACTCGATATTTCTACAATTAAATGTGATTACAATGTTCACTGTGCAGTAAAAACTGTTTTTTACCTTACTCTCGGCTATTTTCTTCGAGCTCCAGATAACTCGAACTTTTTTCGATTTCCCTTGAAGGTTCGAGTTATGGGAAGTCCATTCTATTCGTGCCGGAGACTGTATACTCGAAATAAGACCAGTTCAAGTTATAAAGCGAATGTTTCTTTAAGGACATATGTATCACGCTTTACTTCCTCAAATAAAGTTTGAAGTGCCTGCTCCAAATGAATACAAACAGTGCATACTCGCGTACAAGCAAGAGCATGTTTATTTTGTAACGTCCAACGATTCTGGGCTTATCCGGCCGCTTAAATTGATAAAGATCAGCTGTAACATACACGTCCGTCCGTAACATGACCAATATTTTGCTCTGAAATTGCGTTCGTGATCCTTGAAAACTTGTGAGGAACAATGGTTTTAATTCTACTCGGAAATTTAGTGCGTTCTTTAAAGTTTCAGGAAATCTCTCCTTAAATGGGCCTGCTAATTTTTCCGCGAACATGATACGCGTGAACTACTTGTTGCGTAGCACGTGACTGCAGCTACCATGATGAAAAATTAGGCGAGCAGATTGTATTGCACGGTACTAAAAGTGTTTTCAAAGCACTCTCAAACTGTATATAAAATGACATAATCAGAAAGTTGTAAAATTGGTTGTCATTTATTACACCAGCAAGCTACTATCTTGTTTAACAAATTGTTTTAAACTAACAAAAGCGCTCCATATTTGCATAATTGTTCCCAATTTCATCTACTGCATCCCAGTCATCCTTGTCACCACAGTAATCCCATTCATCACAGTCATCCCAGTTATCCTAGCCATCCAATTCATACCAGCCATTCTGGTCATCCCAGTCATCTAAGTCATCCTTGTCATCCCACTTATGCCATTCCTCACAGTCATCCTAGCCATCCAATAGACCCTTTTCTATATTAAAATTCATACTTGGCTCCGAGGCTCGGGGGAATAAAACAAAAGAAATGTGTTATTCATTGCTGAGCCTCAAGATGATTTCTTTTGTTTTATTCCACCAAGCCTCGGAGCCAAGTGTGACTTTTAATATAACATTACCAATGGGTCTATTCATACAAGTCATCCTAGTCATCCAAGTCATCCTTAGTAGTCATCCCAGTTGTCCCAGTCACCCTATTCGTCCAATTCATCTAAGTCCTTCCAGTAACCCTAGTCATTCTAGTTGTCCCACTCATCCTAGTAATACCAGTCATCCTACTGTTTTCGTAACAGGAGTTCGTGGATAGCTGGGCCAGCCGAGATTTTGAAGAAAAACAACTTTTACAAATGATAACCTGAGTGAATGGGGATGTTGTGTATGAATCAACGAAAAGTCCACACAATTTTGGGGGACCAAAAGCGCATGCGTCTGTGAAGAGCCGTACCATAACTGAGCGAAATGAATTTTCGATCTAAATATATAGGTAGATTTTCTAAGGCAAAGTTAGGTTGATTATTTCCGGTGGGGTTATAGGGCGGTGAGAGATGGCCAACTCTCTGAAGCCTGCTTGACTAATCCGTGCGGATCCAACTTACCGGGGGGGGCTGTCGAGCTTGCTGACGGTCACCAAACTCCGGCCCAGCAAGTGCAGGGAGGTGCTCGAACTATTAACTCGGTCCCAGAGGTTAAATGGGAACCTCGGCACCAGAGGTTAAACGGTTACCTCTGTCCCAGAGGTTAAACGGGAAAAAAATGGCCACCAGAGCTGCCTCCCTGACAGGGTTTTTGCTTTTTTTTGTGACGTGTCACGCTGCAAGAGATGTAACGCAGTGTCACGCAATATGTATATTTTTTACCCGAGGGGCTCACATGTGAAAGGGGCGGGGATGCTCGTCGGAAATTTTGAAAAACCCCTAAAGGAGACCAACCTAGGCGTGGGCCAACCTTTTTTTGACCCCTGAAAGAGACCATTTTGTTACAATGTTCTTTAGTTATTGATCTTACAGAAAAATTTTATTACATGAATTGAATAAATAACAGGAACTGACTATCAAATATATATCTTCGCGTGCAACCCTAAAAGAGACCTTTACTCCTTAATAAAATGACGTTTTGCTCAGAACACCCTAAGTGAGACCAAAATCCGAAATTTACACTCCTAAGCGAGACGGCGAACACCCCCACCCCTTTCATATGGGGGTTCTCCCCCCCTCCCCCGTACAAGCAACAGCATGTTTATTTTGTAACGTCAAACGATTCTGGGCTTACCCTGTCGCTTGGTTTGATAAAGATCAGCTGTAACATACACGTCCGTCCGTAACATGACTAATCTTTTGCTCTGAAATTGCTTTCGTGATCCTTGAAAACTTTCGTGAAACAAAGGTTTTAATTCTACTAGGAAATTAAGCGCGTTCATTAAAGTTTGGGGCCTTTGAGATAATCTCTCGTAAGTCTCTCTTGTCTCTTCCGCGGTGGAACATGATACACGTGAACTTTTTCTGTTGCCTAGGACGTGACTGCAACTTGCACGATGTTATATTCAAAAGCGGATTGTATTGCACGAGACAAAACATTGTTTTCAAAGCTCCTGGACGTTTCTGAAGTTTTCGAAACTTTAATGTACGCAATCACGTCTCATAAAAAATAGAGGGCGAAATATCAAAGGGAGTTGCTATCGCATATCGCAAAAACAGCAATTCTAGTAAACAGGTCAAATTACAAAGCAAGTTGCCAGCGAAAAAAAACACCCTCAGATTGTAGACACCGATAAACAACTGCGATAATGCCGATGGACATTCACAAACAGGCCATCGAAAAAATATCGGCGAGTAAAATTCGAAAGCAACGAGAAGCGCCTTGAGACTGTGTTTACACACCGTCGCGTATTTAACATTTAGTTGCACAAGCTTCCTTTTACATGTATTTTGGATTTTACAGATAAAAAGACGCCTAAAGTCGTTCCCGTGGAATGCATTGGTCTACGGACGCATTACTGAGTTCTATCTGAATTTAGCAAAATAAAGGAAATCGGAAAGATATAGTTTTAAATAAAGTTCCAATGTTTTAATCCGAGATGAAAGTTAATATTCCAAGAAGCTCTTGATCCGATTAAACATTAAATTGCAATGTGTTTCCGAGGTCTCAAAGTTAAAAAAGTTCCAACGGTTATCTGTGATTCACAGGTATAATAAGTTCACTAAGGTCCGGATCCGTGTCCCATCCAAAAGTCGAATTCATGTCGAAAGCGAGTCATCGATCAACCAGGACAATATTTTCGCGATTTCACCGGCAATCGTCAAGGGTACGAGTTGAAATTTACTCGATTTAACCTCCCATCGTCAAGGTGTTTTCGATAAGAAAAGAAAAAACTGAACTCTAGCTCTGTTCGGCAAAAACTGGCGAACTCCGACCAGAAAAATCTATGCGAAATCCCGTCCCTGTAACCAGACGCTACTAAAACCTTAAGAAAAAGCTAGACCTAACTTAAAAAGAATCGGCTTATTCTATTCTGCGAAACCAAACGAAACGAAACGAAATATATGGGGGAGAGAAAGAAAATGCTTATTATCCTAAAAACAGTTCAAGGACAACATTTAAAATGTGTTTGGAAGTAATAGTTGACGAAAAATGACGGATTTTTACCCGCGAAGTAGTAATTTCACTAGAATGACTATTTTGCGTAATGGCGTTTTTTCACCTTCATTTAGCAAATATGTGTTTTCGTCCGAGAGAAATTGTGTCCACCAATAAGATGATTAACATTTCGAAGAATCTGGGCAGGGCGTATGGAAAAGCCGAAATCCGGAACCGGAGCCGGAAACGGAAACGGAACCGGAACCGGAACCCGAACCTAAGAAATAAAACTTGGAGACGTTTCTGTCTTAAGAGTGTCACTAACAATTTTTACTCGATCAAGACTTTTCATCCCCACATTATATTTATTTATTGTTATTATATTTTTTACTGTCGCATTTTTTGTGTACGGCGCAAAATTTTTCGTTGAGAATTTCATATACGCGTGAGCGTTGCAACTTGGGATCATGATTGACATGAGTACTCCTCCCTTTGCCGCCTTTCCCTCACAATGGATGAAACACGGAGCCCTTTTAAGAAATGAGTATCTTAGGCTCAACAGAAGGAAATGAATAACACAGCGGTCTTAAACATGGCTGTTTTTTGCAGTCAATCGGCTTCTGGTTAGTTGTAGTCTCGATCTCTCGAAAATTGCTTGACCTACAGCTGCAGTCACACTTTATGACTGCTAGGGATAACAGTAGGATGCACTTCCCTTTTTTTTTGCAAGTCACTTTCCGAATGTGAGTATACCTTTGGTATCACAATCACTGTGCTGAAAATTTCTCAAAACAATGATAACGGAGGACGCCATCTTGAATTTTATTCCCAGACTGGTATTTGGAACTGGTTTCAGTGCTTCCCAGCTTACCCTGGTCTCAATTTAAGTTCCGGTTCCGGTTCCGGATTCTGGATTCCGGCTTTTCCATACGCCCATCTGGGCACCTCTCATTTTACTGACTGTACTAGAACTTTCACCTTTATTTAGCAAAATGTCAGAAAAAAAATGGGTCCACCAAGTGTATTATTCCGACACTTTTGGTTCGCAGTGAAGTTTAGTGTTTTCTGGCGGGTCATAAAAAATGTATATTTGTAAACATAACTGACATTTACAAAGTTTATCATTATTTAAGTCGTTCCATTAAAAGCTAATACATCATTATCAAAAAGTATCGAAGGAAATTTATAATTTGTTAAGGATTAAAATAGCGGTCCTCAAGCCCCCGTTCTTTGTAATTTGATTAAAGTACTCCAAAAAGTTAACCAAAGTCAACTAACTAATGTTGAATGTATTATGCGTTACATATGGTACGATGTTATTTTTATCAAATCAGTTACCTATTTTTTTGGGATAGATTATTCCCCTTGATTTTATCAGCAGCATTTACTATTTCGATAATCATCTTACTATGCGCACCATTTTTCTTTTACTGCACGGAACTATATTGTTTTGAAATAAATCTTGCAAAGAAAATAAATAACCTAGGAAATATAAATATGCGTGCCTCACCTCACCGCCATATCACAAGCTAAAATGAAACTTATTTTTGTTGCTGTTGTTGTTGCGAATATTTACTGGGAATAAGGAACAGGGTATAAAGAGGAACCTATGAAGCGAAAGAGCCTCCATCTCCTGATCGTTAATAGGCCCAATGTCATAGCAAGTTACATTGTTTAGGCCATCTTTAATCCGTGTTACAAAACCCATGGGAGACGGCCTTTCGCATTGTTGAAAATTCAATTGACCAAAACTTGAATACAGGACAAATGTTGTGGATCAGACATGCAAAGAAAGCTCACTACCATGATCAGAGAAGCGGTAACTGAAACTGATGCAGATTAAGATTTAGCTGTAATCAGATGGACGCTCGCAATTGGTTTTACTATCGTTCATAGGCACCACCATACACTTAGCGGTGGCATAGCCTTCACTCACACGTTAGTTCGAATTTATTCAACTCTACATCTCTTTCGAAAATAATGTGTTGCCTGCAAGGCATGGGCAGTCGTAGAATCGAAGTTAGATTTAGTTTTATGCATAGTTCAATTTGACCTGTTACCATGTGTTACGCTGTCTTCACTCTCCTTTAACTTTATTTGTCAATCGAGTACAATCTGTACAGTAACTATTTACTACTCTTTTCAAGATCGGGATTTTCCATATCCCATCATGGTCGTGGGTCTCAGCCCCAGACTTCTATTTGTTTTTTGTGGTCTTTTTTCCAACCACCTAGCTCTTGATCGACCTGATATTGCTAAAATGAGTGGTGCCCAGATTCTTCGAAATATTAATCATTTTATTGGTGGACACAATTTCTTTCAGACGAAAAGGACATTCATGCTAAATGAAGGTGAAAAAATGCCATTTCGCAAAATAGTAATTCTATTGAAATTACTACTTTGTGAAACAGGTAAAATTCCATAACTATTACTTCCAAACACATTTTAAATGTCTTGAAATGTGTTTAGGATAATAAGCATTTTTTCTCCCTCCCCCATATGTTTCGTTTCATTTCGTTTCGTTTTGCAGAATAGAATAAGCCAAAACAATCATGATGGGGAAAACCCAAAATAAAAAGAAATAATTTGGCCTAGGTCTGCTAGGTCACTTCCCGTGACTTGCCAGTATCCTGAAGGATTTCGCTGGTTAACAAGCCGTCCTAACCTTCGAGTGGGAAGCTGACAAAAGACAAATTTGGCATGTTCTGAAACGTTGTTCAGAGGAAGCCAATCGATTGAAAATTGATAAAGATTTTGTACAATCCCATTGGTCAGCTTGGATGAAGAAATAATCGGTAAAGATTTTCCACAATCCTATTGACAAGGTCAACAGTGATAACAGGGACAAGAGTGACAACATCGACAATAGCCAGAAACAGTGAAAAGAGGGACAACAGTAACAATAGGAACAACAGTGAGAACAGTGGCAAGAGGGACAAAAGTGAGAATAGCGACAACAGTAACAACAGGGAGTAAAGTTAGGACAGTGACGACGGTGAGAACAACGACAACAGTGAGAATAGAGATAACAGTGATGACCTTGACCAGAGCGACAACAGTGACAAGAGGGACAAGAGTGACAGCAGTGACAACAGCGACAACAATGACAACAGCGATATTATTGACAACAGTGAGAACAGCCACAACATTGACAACAGTCACAATAGTGACAACAGGGACAACAGTGACAGCAGCAACAACATTGACAACAGCAGCAAAAGTGACAACAGTGACACAACAACAGAGACAACAAAGACAACAGGACAACTGGAACAATGGTGGCAACAGTCACATTAGGGACAACAGTTACAGTGATGATAACAGGGACAACAACTAGGACAAGAGGGACAACAGTGACAGCAAGGACAACAGTAAAGACAGTGAGAGCAGGAACAGCAGACACAACGGGGATGACATGGACAAAAGGGACAACCAGGAAATAGTCACAACAGAGAGAACAGGGGCAACAGTGTCAAAACTGATAACAGGAACAACAGTGACCACAGTGACACTAGGGATGTGTGTATCCTGGGTAGGGCAGCACATATCATTAGAAATATTATGTGTTCTTTCATAGGGGAACACATATTAGTAGTGATATGTGTAATTCCCCTACCTGGGAAACATATATCCCTAGTGATATGTGTTTCTCGGGTAGGGGAACACATAAACTAGAGGAAACACATTTCACTAGGTAGATGAGATTGGAGGAACATATATCATGTGGGAACATATCACTGTGATTTCACAGTAATATGTGTTCCACCATTAGATATGTGTTCCCCCTAACAGATTATCTTTAGTGGAATGTGTTTTCCCAACTTAGGAGCAATTCTTAGTGATATTTGTTCCTGATCTACCTGGAATACACATATCGCTTGTGATATATGTTTCCCTACCCAGGAAACATATTCCACTAGTGAAATGTGTTTCCCTACCCAAGAAACACATATCCCTAGTGATATGTTCCACTGGAAAAACACATATTCAACTGGGAAACGCATATCCCTGGTGAAATGTGTTCCCTACGCGAGAAACACATATCCCTGGTGATATGAGTTCTCCTACGCAAGAAACATGTATCCCTTGGGATATATGTCCCCCTGCCCATGAAACACATATCACTAGTGGTGTGTTTCCTGGTTAGGGAAACATATCTCTAATGAAATGTGTTTCTCCTACCCAGGAAAACATATTCTTAGTGTTCCCCTACCTGGGAAACAAACATTACTGGTGATATTTGTTTCCCTATCTAGGAAACACATACCACTCTCAATGCTGACATTGATATGGCATTGAGATTTGAAAGAGTGAATCTCTAGAGGGCCTCATTGTATTAAGTGATATTTTTGAGAAACTTAAGGCATATGAGTTTTGTTGAGCTGGTTAGTTATGGTATTGAATGCCTCTCTCTTTCTAATGCTCATTTATATTATACACCCCCTAAATTAAATAAATGCAGCAGGCACTTGTCAGATCATTTATAGTAATCAGGCCAAGGTGCTTATTCAAATGTGACTGCTAATAATTATTTATGCAAGTATGGTATACTAGAATCAATTGGTCTGTTCTGGAAATTGTTATTATTTTAGTCAATTAATGATCAGTGAATTAATGAGCTGAAGTACATTTTCAACTTTTCTTTCCAGATCAGATGCCCCAGATTGGATCAAGACTTTAGCAGCCTGGATTTAGTTAGAGATTATCTTCAGTATGGTAAGTGCAGTACATTTTACTTTTTCAAAGTTTCTGTCTCTTTTTGACAGTCACATTGATCATCTATGATAAACGTCCCTGATATGCAAGCTATAGAAACAGCTGTATGCCTTTAGAAAGAGAGGGAATTAGGGAGCTTTACAAACAATGGCTACAACAGCAAAGAGAACGTAAAAAAAAAAAGTTTTGATAAGTACAATGTTTTGGTAAGTCACTCCATGACTATGAAAATGCCTAGTTTTATGTGTTATGGAGGGCATAAGTAAGGAACAACAATTTTTTCTTTCTAAGTACCGTCCCCAAGAAATCAACTCCAGGGAAATTCACTTGCATTTGGCATTCTCATCAAAAGAAATAAATGTACCAAAGTTTAAAAAATGGTAATTCATTTTCAGGGTTCGTACAGAGTCTTGTATTTTTAAAAAAGCCTTGAAATTTGTCCAGCAATTTTTCAGACCTGGAAAAAGCCTGGAAAATGGTGATAAGGTCTGGAAAAATGGTATAAAGTCTTGATTTTGTATTTGTATTGTATTTTATTATATAGACATGAGTGTTTTACTGGAAAGCATACCACCCGTAAAATTCATAAAAACTATATCCGGGACCCGAGTGGTTTATTTTCCATAATCTCACACGTGAGTTTATTGATGACGTAATTTCGGTCATTTTCCTCTATTATTTTATGCTACAGAAAAACAGATATATTATTTTTCTTGTAATGTGCCACCGAACTTCTATACTTAAAATAAAAGAGCACCGTTTTTGTTATAAAATGAGTGAGCGACGCGAGCAAGCATTTTAATTGTTTTGCCACTTGAAAATAAAATACATATCTTCACACCACCGTGTAATATCCTCTATTTATTTGCCACACATAACACAATTACAGTTACAGAAAGATACAAAAAAGGTAGGAAGAAATGGCAAGGATACCTAAAGGAAACTATAAAGCTTATGTTAATTAGGCCTCCTCAATTACAATTTTTCTAAGATGGCATAAAAATTTCGGTGACGGATACAAAGTATTATTAGATGCAAAATTAAAATAATAGTCAATATTAAGGAAGTTTAGAAATGTTGAATATTAAACAGCTTTTTCTCAACAAAGACTTTTTGTGAGAGTATACTTGTTTAATAATTATTACAAATAAATGACTTAAGTGCTCTTTTAAAGGAAGAAGGGGAGGAAGAGTTGATGATGTTTGTTTTTAAGGTGTTATAAAATTTAGGTCCTTGATAAAATACTGAAAATTGCTTGATTTGAGTACAACAGAAAGGCAGACGAAATTGACAAGGGTTTCTTGTATTACACGAATAAATTTGAATTTGTAAGGTAAATTTACAATGAAATTTTAAAGGTAGAGTATGGTTTTGATAGGAGTACGTTAACAAGCCTAGTTGTACTAAGTATTATCATGAAATTTTAAGATACCAAGATTTTGAAAGATTGGATCAGTATGTGCATCAAAACGAGTTTTAGCTATAGTTCTGATCACTTGTTTCTGTAAAATCTCAAGACGAATAAGGTTAGTTCTGTAAGCAGAGGCCCAACTAAGTTGCAGTAAAAAAACGTAAGGATAAACCAGAGAAAAATATAATGTTCGTAAAAGTTTTGTAGATAAATAGAAACTGGAATTAAGAATAATTCCTCTGCATTTAGAAACTTTATTGGCGAGATGTGAGATTTCAGATTTCCAATTTAAATTTTCATCCATGATTACTCCCAACAAAACTGTTTCTTTTACCTGATCAATTTTTTGGCTATTAGTTAAAAGATGAATTGTTTGATGTGTACGCTTTTGGCATGGTTTAAATAGAATAAATGTGTGGATTTTTTGTTTAATGAGAGCCTGTTAACTCTAAACCAAATTGACAACTTATTTAGCTCAGCATTCAGTATTTCTTAGTCAAGCAATCTTTATCCTTGTGAGAGAGAAAAACGTTCATATCATCAGCAAATGATATCAATATTATTGTAATATTGTTGACGTATTGATGATATCATTGTATATGTGTCGAAATTGGTAGAGCATGCAGTATTTGTTCAGGTACATGCACACCTTTCTGAACATGACCTCTACCCCTTGTTGCAATCTGCGTATAGACGAGGTCACAGCACAGAAACAGCCTTACTCAAGATATATAATGACATATTAATGGTAATGAATCATCAGGAAGTTTTTCTGCTTGTGTTGTTGGATCTGAGTGCTGCCTTCGATATGGTGGAACATTGTGTTACAATCTCGTCTGAGCAGAAGTTTTGGGATCTGAGGTACAGCACTGGAGTGGTTTGCGTCATACCTATCGGGACATTCTCAGCATGTCTCACTAAGTGGCAAGTGTTCGGAATCTCTACAGTTAAATCAAGGAGTCCCTCAAGGGTCATGTTTAAGGCCGTTACTGTTTACTCTGTATGCCAGTAAACTGTTTGAAGTTGTCAAGAGACACCTGCCTAGTGTTCATGCTTATGCAGATGATACTCGATTATATTTAGCGTTTAAACCTGGCTGTGCCTCAAGTACCGATGATGCAATTGCTGCTATGGAATGGTGTGTAAATGAGATAAGAGCCTGGATGCTGTGTGACAAACTGAAGATCAATGATGGCAAAACAGAGTTTGTAGTACTAGGCACCCGTCAGCAACTACCCAAGGTTCATGTTGACTCACTTGCAGTAGGGGATGCTCAAGTGTCACCTGTTCAGTCGGTCAAGAACTTAGGGACATGGATAGATAGTAACATGAGTCTTCAAGTTAATATCAATAACACGTGTAAAGCAGCCTATTACTACATATTTACAAATGTAAAACGAATAAGAAAGTATTTCAGTAACCAAGCAACCCAGACACTTGTTCATGCCCTAATAATTGAGCCCATTGACTATTGTAATAGTATTCTGTATGAGTTACCAGCTAAACAAATAGCAAAGTTACAACAGCTCCAGAATTCCGCAGCAAGACTTAATTTGATTCCAAGGTTTTGTCACATCTCACTAATTCTGTGTATGCTTCATTGGCTTCCAGTAGAATTTAGGATTCATTTTAAGATTATTATAATTACTTTTAAAGTGATCCATGGACAAGCTCCGGTATATCTACAAGAACTCATTAGCAAAAGGGAGGAAAAGAGATACAATTTAAGATCGTGTGCAATGGGAATCATGCTTCAAACGCCAAGAACTTTAACTAAAAAGCCGTGGGGGAGCGTGCTTTTTTTAGCTGCGGCACCTAAACTGTGGAATGGATTACCATCACAAATACGAAATGAGTCCAATTTTCATAGGTTTAAAGGTTTACTTAAGACCCATTTTTTTAGATTAGCTTTTTATTAGGATTTTTTAGTATTATGTATATATTATATTTTTATAGATCCATTGTTTTTTATACAAGACTTTTAGTTATTTTGGATAAGTTATTAATGTCGATAATTTACTTTCATGTAATGCGCATTTGATCATATTTACATGTATACATGTATTTTGCACAATATAAATATTAAATTATTATTATTATTATTGATGTAGAGCAGAACAAACAAAGGCCCATGTAAGCTACATATACAACAAGTGTTTTATAAGTGAAATTTGTTTCATGCAAATCTTATTCAATCTCGCCCCTATGTTTGCAGCACATCATGAAAAAATCTTTGTTCCTGACTTTTTTATAGGGACAGGTTCATGGTTCATTGCATGCTCACTAATTAAATTACTTTTTTCCAATTTATTATTTATTCTATCGGTTAATAATCCAACTCACATGTATCTCAGCCTTCTCAGAGTGTATTTCAAAGTAGAAGTGTATTTCAGAGTAACCTGAAGTAGGATGGAGGAGTACTAAAATCACAGAAAAATTAGTAGATTATGCCAACACTACCAACGTTGAATTTATTGTTGACTGAAGGTTTTATTCCATGCAGGGATTTCAATAAGCACCGACTGCCAACGAAACACTTCAGCCACTTTACTCATTAAAGGTCGGCTACTTTTTTCTAGAAAGAAGAAGCAACTAGTTTGAATAACATTGTAAACAAAAAATATATCATAACATCTGAATGAAGATGTAATTATGATGTGTTTTCTTAAAGGCCCACTGATATTACATTATGCTTTAGTTTTGTGAACGCTATATTTCAGTCATTTTTTCACAAGTTTCTTTATAGGTTTACGCAAAATTTGTTTACATGGAAAAGTACGTAATTTCATTTTCATCATTTGTCCATTGCCTCTAGGAATTGATTGCGTGACTGATAAATTGAAAGCTACATTTTCTTCAATGAAAAAATTCGCTCTTTCGTCCTCAAATTTAGTGCCCAGAATGCTGAAAATCGCATTTTAGGGCTTTGGAATTTCAAAGTTTTCTGGGGCAGAACTCTCCCAGACCCCCTTCCCCTCCTAAAAAAGGAGGACTTGTTGATACAGTCGGTTACTCTATTCAAACCTGCTGGCTACTTCAATTTTTATTGAAACCCCTGCCATGGTTGATGAATTTACAGCTATTTGCACATAAGTTGATCAAGTGACTGCCAGGGGAGTGTGCAGATTGGTCCTTTGACAACATATGAGATTTTCGCTGCTGTTGCCGTCATTGATGCTAAAGCTCCCTCTTATGGCTAAATGGGAGTGTGCTCCCTTAATCAGATCATCAAGATGCTATATTCAAATATGGTTGCTAATAAACTATACAATGGAATTTCCCCTACCAGGAACACACATCCTTAGTGATATGTGTTTCTCTACCCAGGAAACACATATCACTAGTGATGTGTTCCCCTACCTGGGAAACAAATAGTACTAGTGATATTTGTTCCCCTATCTAGGAAACACATACCACTCTCGATGCTGATGTTGATATGGTGTAGAGATTTGAAAAAGTGAATCTCTAGAGGGCCTCATTGTATTAAGTGATATTTTTGAGAAATTAAAGGCATATGAGTTTTTGTTGAGCTAGTTAGTTATGGTATTGAATGCCTCTCTCTCTTTAATGCCTGCTCATCTTATGTTATACACCCCCCAAAATTAAATAAATGCACCAGGGGCTTGTCAGGTCATTTATAGTAATCAGGCCAAGGTGCTTATCCAAATGTGGCTGCTAGTAATTATTTTTATTATACATCAGACTCACAATGAAAAATCTGATTGGTCGAGAGCATTCAATCAATTCACAATAGCTTGTGAACTTGACATGATAAATGCAATATCTGCTGCAGATATTGCATTTATCATTCATGATATCATGAATTATCAAAACCTCGTGTCTGTATTATCTGCCTCAGCCTTCGGCTTCGGCAGGTAACACAGACCTCGGTTTTGATAATTCATGATATCATGCTCAACCTCATCCAATAATTGTTTAATGCAAGTATGGTATACTAGAATTAATTGGTCTGTTCTGGAAATTGTTATTATTTTAGTCAATTAATGATCAGTGAATTAATGAGCTGAAGTACATTTTCAACTTTTCTTTCCAGATCAGATGCCCCTTGGATCAAGACTTAAGCAGCCTGGATTTAGTTAGAGATTATCTTCAGTATGGTAAGTGCAGTACATTTTACTTTTTCAAAGTTGCTGATTTTTGTTACAGTTATATTGAACATCTTTGAAGGAAAAACCTCCCTGATATACACGCTTGAGATATGCCTTGAGAAAGGAAAGGACACTTATTTTCCAGTAATTAGGGAGCTTTAGCAATGAAGACGGCCACGCATTGAGAACGTCAAAAAAGCAATAGGTTTTGATAAGTACACTGTTTTGATAAGTCACTGCATGACTGCAACGTGAAAATCACATGGAGGAAATAAATAAGCAACAACAAAGTTTTCTTTGTGAGTACTGTCCCCAAGAAATCAACTCCAGGGAAATTCACCTACATTTGACCTTCTCATCGAAAAGGAATAAATGTGCGAGAGTTTGAAAAAATGCAAAGTCATTTTTAGGGTTTGTACAGATTCTTGAATTATTGAGAAAGTCTTGAAATTTGCTAAGCAATTTTCCAGCCTTGGTAAAAGTCTGTTAAATGGAGTTAAAGTCTGGAAAAATGGAATAAAGTCATGTCAGAGTTTTTTTTCTTATTTTATTTTATTTTATTAAGCTATGCTACGACAGGTGCTTTTAAGTGAAATTTGTTTTGTTTTGGTGAAATCCTTTTTCAATATTGCAGCTAAGTTTGCAGCCCATCGTGAAAAAAGCTTTGTTCCTGCCTTTTTTAAGGTCTCTATCGATCACCTATTTTGATAATGTTGAGTCTGGTGAAAAAAAACTGCTGTTTTAGAAAAAAGTCTGGAAAAAGTCTTGATTTTTGGATCCAAATCCACTATGAACCCTGATTTTAAAATAATGTGACGTTTTCGCTGCCATTGCCGTTGTCGTTGTCAATGCTAAAGCTCCCTCTTATGGCTGAACAGGAGTGTTCTCCCTTAATCAGATCATCAAGATGCTATATTCAAATGTGGCTGCTAATAAACTATATATATAATGGAATTTCCCCTACCAGGAACACACATCCTTAGTGATATGTGTTTCTCTACCCAGGAAACACATATCACTAGTGATGTGTTCCCCTACCCGGGAAACAAATATTACTAGTGATATTTGTTTCCCTATCTAGGAAACACATACCACTCTCGATGATGATGTCGATATGATGTTGAGATTTGAAAAAGCAAATGTCTAGAGGGCCTCATTGTATTAAGTGATATTTTTGAGAAATTAAAGGCATATGAGTTTTGTTGGGCTGGTTAGTTATGGTATTGAATGCCTCTCTCTTTCTAATGCTCATCTTATATTATACGCCCCTCAAATTAAATAAATGCAGCAGGCACTTGTCAGATCATGTCAGATCATTCATAGTAATCAGGCCAAGGTGCTTATTCAAATGTGGCTACTAATAATTATTTATGCAAGTATGGTATACTGGAATTAATTGGTCTTTTCTGGAAATTGTTATTATTTTAGTCAATTAATGATCAGTAAATTAATAAGCTGAAGTAAACTTTCAACTTTTCTTTCCAGATCAGATGCTGCAGATTGGATCAAGACTTAAGCAGCCTGGATTTAGTTAGGGATTATCTTCAGTATGGTAAGTGAAGTACATTTTACTTTTTCAAAGTGTCTGATTTTTGTTAAAGTTATATTGAAAATCTTTGAAGGAGAAACCTCTCTGATATACAAGCTTGAGATATGCCTTGAGAAAGGAAAGGACACTTATTTTCCAGTAATTAGGGAGCTTTAGCAATGAAGACGACCACGCATTGAGAACGTCAAAAAAGCAATAGGTTTTGATAAGTACACTGTTTTGATAAGTCACTGCATGACTACAACGTGAAAATCACATGGAGGAAATGAATAAGCAACAACAAATTTTTGTTTCTGAGTACTGTCCCCAAGAAATTAACTCCAGGGAAATTCACCTACATTTGACCTTCTCATCAAAAAGGAATAAATATGCCAGAGTTTGAAAAAATGCAAAGTCATTTTTAGGGTTGGTACAGATTCTTGAATTATTGAAAAAGTCTTGAAATTGGTTGAGTTTTCCAGCCCTGGAAAAAGTCTGGTAAATGGAGGTAATGTCTGGAAAATGAAATAAAGTTATGTTGGGGTTTTTTTTCTTCTTTTATTTTATTTTATTTTTTTAAAAGCTACAACAGGTGCTTCTAAGAGAAATTTGTTTTATTTTGGTGAAATCTTCTTTTAATATTGCACCTAAGTTTGCAGCTCATCATGAAAAAAGCTTTGTTCCTGCCTTTTTTAAGGTCTCTATCGATCACCTATTTTGATAACGTTGAGTCTGGTAAAAAAACTGCTGTTTTGGAAAAAAGTCTCAAAAAAGTCTTGATTTTTGGATCCAAATCCAGTATGAACCCTGATTTTAAAATAATGTGACGTTTTCGCTGCCATTGCTGTTGTCGATGCTAAAGCTCCCTCTTATGGCTGAACGGGAGTGTTCTCCCTTAATCAGATCATCAAGATGCTATATTCAAATGTGGCTGCTAATAAACTATATATATGATGGAATTTCCCCTACCAGGACACACATCCTTAGTGACATGAGCTTCTCTACCGAGGAAACACATATCACTAGTGATGTGTTCCCCTACCCGGGAAACAAATATTATTAGTCATATTTGTTCCCCTATCTAGGAAACACATACCACTCTGCTGCTGATGTCGATGTGACATTGAGATTTGAAAAAAGCAAATCTCTAGGGGGCCTCATTGTACTAAGTGATATTTTTGAGAAATTAAAGGCATATGAGTTTTGTTTAGGTGGTTAGTTATGGTATTGAATGCCTCTCTCTTTTTAATGCCTGCTCATCTTATGTTATACGTCCCCCCAAAATTAAATAAATGCACCAGGCGCTTGTCAGGTCATTTATAGTAATCAGGCCAAGGTTCTTATTCAAATGTGGCTGCTACTAATTATCTATGCAAGTATGGTATACTAGAATTAATTGGTCTGTTCTGGAAATTGTTATTATTTTAGTCAATTAATGATCAGTGAATTAATGAGCTGAAGTATATTTTCAACTTTTCTTTCCAGATCAAATGCTACAGATTGGATCAAGACTTTAGCAGCCTGGATTTAGTTAGAGATTATCTTCAGTACAGTAAGTGCAGTACATTTTACTTTTTCAAAGTGTCTGATTTTTGTTAAAGTTATATTGAAAATCTTTGAAGGAAAAACCTCCCTGATATACAAGCTTGAGATATGCCTAAAGAAAGGAAAGGGACACTTATTTTCCAGTAATTAGGAAGCTTTAGCAATGAAGATGACCACGCATTGAGAACGTCAAAAAAGCAATAGGTTTTGATAAGTACACTGTTTTGATAAGTCTCTGCATGACTACGACGTGAAAACCACATGGAGGAAATAGATAAGCAACAACAAAATTTTCTTTCTGAGTATTGTCCCCAAGAAATCAACTCCAGGGAAATTCCCCTGCATTTGGCATTCTCATTGAAAAGGAATAAATGCGCCAGAGTTTGAAAAAATGCAAAGTCATTTTTAGGGTTCGTACAGATTCTTGAATTATTGAAAGTCTTGAAATTTGCTGAGCAATTTTCCAGCCTTGGTAAAAGTCTGGTAAATGGGGTGAAGTCTGGAAAAATGGAATAAAGTCATGTCAGAGTTTTTTTGTTATTTTATTTTTTTAAGCTACGCTGCAACAGGTGCTAATTTGTTTTGTTTTGGTGAAATCTTTTTTCAATATCGCAGCTAAGTTTGCAGCCCATCATGAAAAAAGCTTTGTTCCTGCCTTTTTTAAGGTCTCTATCGATCACCTATTTTGATAACGTTGAGTCTGGTAAAAAAAATGGCTGTTTTGGAAAAAAGTCTGGAAAAAGTCTTGATTTTTGGATCCAAATCCACTATGAACCCTGGTTTTCAAATAATGTGACGTTTTCGCTGCCATTGCCGTTGCCGTTGTCGATGCTAAAGCTCCCTCTTATGGCTGAACGGGAGTATTCTCCCTTAATCAGATCATCAAGATGCTATATTCAAATGTGGCTGCTAATAAACTATGTAATGGAATTTCCCCTACCAGGAACACACATCCTTAGTGATATGTGTTTCTCTACCCAGGAAACACATATCACTAGTGATGTGTTCCCCTACCTAGGAAACAAATATTACTAGTAATATTTGTTCCCCTATCTAGGAAACACATACCACTCTCGATGATGATGTCGATATGATGTTGAGATTTGAAAAAGCAAATGTCTAGAGGGCCTCATTGTATTAAGTGATATTTTTGAGAAATTAAAGGCATAACAGTTTTTTTGAGATGGTTAGTTATGGTATTGAATGCCTCTCCCATTCTAATGCTCATCTTATATTATACGCCCCTCAAATTAAAAAAATGCACCAGGCGCTTGTCGGATCATTTATAGTAATCAGGCCAAGGTGCTTATTCAAGTGTGGCTGCTAATAATTATTTATGCAAGTATGGTATACTAGAATTAATTGGTCTGTTCTGGAAATTGTTATTATTTTAGTCAATTAATGATCAGTGAATTAATGAGCTGAAGTACATTTTCAACTTTTCTTTCCAGATCAGATGCTGCAGATCAAGATCTTGGATCAAGACTTTAGCAGCCTGGATTTAGTTAGAGATTATCTTCAGTATGGTAAGTGCAGTACATTTTACTTTTTCAAAGTTTCTGATTTTTGTTACAGTTATATTGAACATCTTTGAAGGAGAAACCTCCCTGATATTCAAGCTTGAGATATGCCTTGAGAAAGGAAAGGGACACTTTTTTTCCAGTTAACAGGGAGCTTTAGCAATGAAGACGACCACGCATTGAGAATGTCAAAAAAGCAATAGGTTTTGATGAGTACACTGTTTTGATAAGTCTCTGCATGACTATGACATGAAAATGCCTAATTTCATGTGTTATGGAGGAAATAAATAAGCAAGAACAAATTTTTCTTTCTGAGTGTCCCCGAGAAATCAACTCCAGGGAAATTCACCTACATTTGACCTTCTCATCAAAAAGGAATAAATGTGCCAAAGTTTGGAAAAATGCAAAGTCATTTTTAGGGTTCGTACAGATTCTTGAATTATTGAAAGTCTTGAAATTTGCTGAGCAATTTTCCAGCCCTGGAAAAAGTCTGAGAAAAAAAGGAATAAAGTCATGTAAAAGTTTTTTTTTCTTATCTTATTTCATTTTGTCTTTTAAGCTAAGCTACAACAGGTGCTTTTAAGTGAAATTTGTTTTGTGTTGGTGAAATCTTTTTTCAATATTGCAGCTAAGTTTGTACCCCCTCGTGAAAAAAGCTTGGTTCCTGCCTTTTTTAGGGTCTCTATCGATCACCTATTTTGACAACCTTGAGTCTCGTAAAAAAAACTGCTGTTTTGGAAAAAAGTCTGGAGAAAGTCTTGATTTTTGGATCCAAATCCAGTATGAACCCTGATTTTAAAATAATGTGACGTTTTCGCTGCCATTGCTGTTGTCGATGCTAAAGCTCCCTCTTATGGCTGAACAGGAGTGTGCTTCATTAATCAGATCATCAAGATGCTATATTCAAATGTGGCTGCTAATAAATTATATATGCTGGAATTAGGTCTGTTTTGGACATTTATAATCAGTAAAATTAATTAATGAGCTGTAACATAATTATTTTGAACTTTTCTTTCCAGATCAGATGCCCCAGAATGTATCAAGACTTCATGAGCAGCCCAAATTGAGTTAGAGCTTATCTTCAGTACTGTAAGTGCTGTACATTTTACTTTGTAATCCAGCTCTTGAGTGAACCAGATAAGCTGAACTGTAACCTGTGTTTGGTCAAAGTATCGTTAAGCTAATCCAGGGAAAGCTGTACCTAGTTCTTTCTTTTTACGATAATTATTTTATTACTTCACCATCAAGTGTACCACAGCAACTGGAACTACATGTAGAAGTTCATCAATCTTTCTGTTTCCAATAAAGCAGACAAATTAATTCACTTTTTGCAAGCAAACCAAAATACAAAAAAGAGAATTCCATGCTAAACAATAGATCAAAATGATTATTACAGCTTGCTCAACATTAATTTTGTACCACATTTTGATTTGACGTATGATAATTCAAATTGTTTGAACCCAGGATTGGAGATTATTATACAAAAGTTTCCAAAGTAAAATGGTTAAAGATTATGATCATCATGTGGAGTGTTTTCCTTAACAGTCAGGACTCAGCGGTCTGTACTCTTGGCAATTCAGCCGGCAACTAGCATTTCAACCCAAGTCATTGATCATGAATAACAGTGACTTAATCTGATTAAATTTGGCACTTAAATAAGAGCACCTAAATAAGTTTATTCTATCCTTTTTCCTGTTTTAATTAAATTTATAGACATATTAGCACAAAATTGCACTATCAGTGCAGCAGAAACACCTCTATTTCGCATTAATATTTTGACTACTAAATTCCAGGTTACGTACAATTGTTGGTGAAGTGTTAACTAATGCAAAAATCTTCATGGTTGCTGTTAGTTTTCTCCTGGATTAGCATTAATCTACTTTGTTCAACCGTGTCACAGTTTTTTTTATTTAATCAAAGCCAAGTTCTGCTGAACATAATTATTATGACCAAACTGGTACTAGTATGGATATGCAATCTACAGTACATGCTACCCTTTAAAGTAAAACTGATTGAATGGTTTTGAGGTCAAGAAATTATTGCCTGTCTGACAGAATAACTTTCACAGCAACCTTTAAATTGACCCCAGGTGATGGACCAATTAATAACTGAGGCGTGCTCACTGATGGAAATTATAATCTATTGACCATTGTAAATGCAAATTATTATTATTATTTTTATTGGACTGATTCAGTGTTTCTCAATGGCTGGCTAACTGTCTCAGAAGCTGCTAATTGTCTAACTGACTTGGTGGAATGTTTTAGTGACTCAGTGATTGACTGACAACTTACATGTACATAGCTGCTGTCTGAATGACTAAGGAACTATCAAAATTATTGACGTTATTGGTAGATTGACAATGTGGTGTTCTCTTCATTTCAAAGGAAGAATTTTTTTGCTGGATTGACTGTGTTTCTCAATGGCTAGTATAATGTAACTGCCTCAGAAGCTGTTGACTAACTGACAGTGACTTACATGTATTGATTGACTGATTGCCTCAGCATCAGCTCTGTGTTTGACTGATGTAATACTGGACTAACTGACTGTGACTTACATGTATTGATTGACTGGTTGCCTCAGCAGTAGCTGTGTGTCTGACTGATATAATACTGGACTAACTGACAGTGACTTACATGTATTGATTGATTGAGTGCTTCAGCATCAGCTGTGTGTTTGACTGATGTAATACTGGACTAACTGACTGTGACTTACATGTATTGATTGACTGGTTGCCTCAACAGCAGCTGTGTGTCTGACTGATATAATTCTGGACTAACTGACAGTGACTTAAATGTATTGATTGACTGGTTGCCTCAGTAGCAGCAGCTGTGTATCTGACTGATGTAATACTGGACTAACTGACAGTGACTTACATGTATTGATTGACTGATTACCTCAGCAGCAGCTGTGTGTTTGACTGATGTAATACTGGACTAACTGACAGTGACTTACATGTATTGATTGACTGGTTCCCTCAACAGCAGCTGTGTGTCTGACTGATATAATACTGGACTAACTGACAGTGACATACATTTGTTGATTGACTGATTCCCTCAGCAGCAGCTGTGTGATTGACTGATATAATACTGGACTAACTGACAGTGATTTACATTTGTTGATTGACTGGTTGCTTCAACAGCAGCTGTGTCTGAATGATATAATACTGGACTAACTGACAGTGACTTACATGTTTTTATTGACTGGTTGCCTCAGCAGCAGCTCTGTGTTTGACTGATGTAATACTGGACTACCTGACAGTGACTTACGTGTATTTATTGACTGGTTGCCTCAGCAGCAGCTGAGTGTCTGACTGATATAATACTGGACTAACTGAGAGTGACTTACATGTATTGATTGATTGAGTGCTTCAGCATCAGCTGTGTGTTTGACTGATATAATACTGGACTAACTGACTGTGACTTACAAATTGTATTGATTGATTGAGTGCTTCAGCATCAGCTGTGTGTTTGACTGATGTAATACTGGACTAACTGACTGTGACTTACATGTATTGATTGACTGATTACATCAGCAGCAGCTGTGTGATTGACTGATGTAATACTGGGCTAACAGTGACTTACATGTGTTGATTGACTGATTGCGACTTACATGTATTCATTGACTAATTGCTTCAATAGCTGTGCCTCTGACTGATAAAATACTTGACTAACTTGTGGATTTTTGATGTTGTGATTTGTTTACATTGCCTATATGAAAGTCAAGAGAACAAGCGCTCTTACATTTCTCCCTAAGTACGCTCATGTTCAACACTTTTCCGCGTGCGGAGATCGTCCAGTAAATAATCTTTATGTCAAAAGTGATCGGTGAAAGCAGAATCAATTTCCAGTGACAACGTTTGGGCATTTTTCTATTTTTGCTTGCAATTTTTAATAAAAGGGCTTATCGGCTGCCTATCTCTTCATGACCAGTAAAATGGCTAAAGCAGTTCCAGAGAAACTGTGTTCATGCAGCCACCTAACTGGTTCATCCCACAGTTGACTGAGTACAAATTCTTCTTACTTTCGGGGCCGTTGTAATCGCTTCTTCTGAGATATACAGCTGAAAATGTTCAAATTACATAATTTTTATATTTTCTTTGAGTTTGTTCCAAAATAAGTATTCTAAAATGATTTTTTGTGTGTGTTTACGGAATGTTGATCACGTGATCAATTAATTTAAAAACCCTATTTCCCATATTAAAACCAATTACAGAAATCAGGTTGTTGCTGGCTGACTTGTGTTCTAGAAGAGAGACTGCCTCTAGGTTTTATTCTGACTTAATATGCTGACTGACTATTGAACTGAACTCGCAGCTTGTCTGGACAATTCACAGTTGCATTATTTTTGTTTGGTTTTTGATATGGTGTAGTCGGTAGATTGCATATCTGTGCTGACTCATAGATTTGTTTTCTGTGAGCTTGTCGAGTGCATTGTTTTTGAAATCTCTCTTGCTCATCCTCAACTTCTCTGAAAAAAGGCGATTCCCCAGCATGCAATAAAGTCTGAGGAATGACTGAATACATTTCATAATGATGATGCACTGCTTCTTGCTGGCTGTTAAGTATTTTAAACATTATAATAATTATACAACCAATCAAATCATCAGCCTGAACTCTGCAGTACAGCATCTTCACTATGAAATTGAACAGTCCTTCCTTAAGACTTTGTTTTATGGGGGGGGGGGGGGGGGGGGGGGGGGGGGGGGGGGGGGAAGAGGGGGGTTTTAGTTGCCCCCAACATTGTGACAACAAAAATAATTGGTGTCTTGTTTTTGGCTTTCTTTTGGGTGGTGCGTATGGGGGGTGTGGGTGGTGGGGTGGTGTGGTGGGTGGGTGGTGGGGGTGGGGTTGGGGGGCGGGTGGGGGGTGGTAGAAGAGGAGTGTTTGTTCTTACGCCAAACTGCAGTCATCAAATTAATCTGCTGTCTTGTTTTTGAGCTTGTTTACCTAACATTCATCACTGCAGCAACTAATCTTCCTATTCTTGAGGGTTATTTTTCAGTTAACGAAAGGAAAGATTCAAAATTCTAAAATTCAATTTCAGTTTTCAGTTTCACTTTAAGCTGGGGTGTTGGTGTTTGTCCGGTTCTTTTTTGTTTCTTGTAACAGAAAATCTTCACGCTAAACAGTTTCCGTAGATAAAAAGTTGCATTTGGCGTGGTTGAACTGGAATTTCAATTTGCACATTTTGATTAACTGCGAATTTGAAAGGTGGTCATCTAAAACCTTAGAACAAAACAGTTAGAGCTTTGACCATGACTCTATGAAAGTGGTTTGGCTGTACTTCTGACAACCATCAAAATGAAAAATAAATTAATTTTGAAACACAACCACATGTAAAACGAACGTTGCCAAAATTTCTGCTGCAGTGTTACTTGCGCTTGACAGTGGTACAATTTCCCAACAAGAATGTGCATGGAACCTTGAGTAATCTGAGGACGCAAATTAAAGTGGGGAGATTTTGAAAACTTGCACTCGTCTTTTTCAGTTCCAGAGTGATCAGCATGTTATTTCTCTTTACTTCTTTGAGTAAATTACCAAGTAGAAGGGTGTTGAAAATAAACATAATTATGATGAGTGGGGAGGCTTTGTCTTGATCAACTGACAAATTCTCAGAAGTGATGGTAAAGAAAATCCGCAGCATTTAGTAAAGAAAATAACATGTTAAAACTTGGGACTGAAAGTTCATAGTAACCTAAAGGCCTTCAGATAAGCGGTTTGTTTTACAATAACTGCAATCCATAAATACATGTCTAAATTGAAATTCTGATTAAAATCAACTCGTATCAAACTCGGAGTCTTTTTTCGGCCGTTATTTAGGCTCGTCACGTAAATTCGTGAAGCCAAAAAACGACCGCGAAGAAGATCATACGCACGTTTGACATCCGATGAAGGAAATAGTAAAGGTTTTTTGTTAGGTTTTTTTCTATGTGCATGTATTTCATGGGATGGCGTTTAATGAGAAACAAACCGCTCACAGAAAAAGTCTGAAGTTTATTTTTTTATGTTTTCCCAACTTTTGGAGCTCAAGCAATCACAACGACAAGGCAGCAACAATGGCACTTGACAGAAGGCTTCACATGCACGCTCGCTTTAATTCTTCTGTACATTTATTGGTATTTGTACGCAAAACAACAACAAAAGTAATCAAAAATTGAAGGTTTTGAGACGAAACACAAACATTTAGCCGTGAAAGATCAAATTCAAAACGCGCGCGTACAAAGTTCAAATTAATAGGTAAATTTAAAGTGTTGAGAAAATTTTAAAAAACAATAACAGAAGGCTTAGCTTTCCTAGCACGCTCACCTTCGTTGTTTTTGCACATTTATTCGCTTTTGTATGCAAAACAAGAAAAGTAATAATCAAAAAAATCAAGGTTTTGAGACGGAAGTTAGCCATGAAATATCAAATTCAAAACGCGCGCGTACAAAGTTCAAATTAATAGGTAAATTTAAAATGCTGAGAAAATTTAAACAGTAACAGAAGGCTTTCCCAGCTCGCTCGCCTTCACTTTTTTGCAAGTTTATTCGCTTTTGTATGCAAAACAACAAGAAAAGTAATGATAAAAAATTCAAGGTTTTGAGACGAAACACAAACATTTAGCGATGAAATATCAAATTCAAAACGCGCGCTTACGAAGTTCAAATTAATAGGTAAATCAGTTAAAATGCTCAGAAAATTTAAACAACAACTGAAGTTCGCATAACTGCTAATTATTTTTTCAAGTGCCGATCTTGCTGCCGTCACTTTCTTGATTGCTTAAAGCTTTATAGTATGTGAAGCAGAACTTGGCTAATTTTTAGGCTCGGACAAAACAGTGAAACATTTCGCGCAGTAACTTTGCACTGTGTTTCTACATCACATCATCACATCATATCACATCACAGTATTAATTTTTGCTTTTGAAAATTTCGGACAAGGTTTTTAGGGGTGGAAACACAGTGTAATTTTAAAGCTGGATTTTAATAGCGGCGTACCACGGGCTTAAGTTTAGTGAGGTCATCAACAACTGAAGTTTTTTAAAATACAAAACTGAAGGTATGAGCACAAAGAATTGGTGAACATACGAACTTATTCTTGTTTTCTCGTCGTAAAGGATTAACACAACACGAGCTGAGCACAACAAAACAAACTTTGTTTTAGTTTATCTTGCTGGTGCTTATGTTGTGTTGAATTCGTAGCGCGGAAGAAGAGTTATAATAAGTGCGTGGTTTTCCTAAAGTTGTGCTTATGCTTTTGTTGTTGATGTCTTTACTAAACTGACGCTTGTGTTCATGTCGTTGGTAAAAACCAGCCTTTACTGCGCGTAATGTTTTACTGTGTCTGAGCCTTAAGGGGGGTTATCTGGTTCACTCAAGTAGTTGGATTACAAAGTAAACAGCACAGGTACTGAAGATAACAGTATTTTATTGAACGAATAAAGCTTGTCTCTGTTGTCCTTGTATTTACAATAAAAAAATACAAAAAAAAAAGTAATCTAGCCTCCGCCGTCCCTGCCGGACTGCTTCCACTCCGCTCCGAGTCGGTGTTCATTGTTCTGTCCGCATTTGATATTCCAACTTTAAAATCCTGGTCTATTTTATCTGATCCCTCCATTCAAGCTGGGGGCAGTTGGACACTTAGAAAATTTGGCCGTTTGTCCCCAAGTGGAGAGGGCAGCGTGAAGGAAAGTGAGAGTTTGCTCCTCATGCCCTCAGGGTATCACTCAACTTTGTCACAATACCACACCACATTAATTCTGAATTAAAATTAGCCAAAACAATTTGTNCCTTTACTGCGCGTAATGTTTTACTGTGTCTGAGCCTTAAGGGGGGTTATCTGGTTCACTCAAGTAGTTGGATTACAAAGTAAACAGCACAGGTACTGAAGATAACAGTATTTTATTGAACGAATAAAGCTTGTCTCTGTTGTCCTTGTATTTACAATAAAAAAATACAAAAAAAAAAGTAATCTAGCCTCCGCCGTCCCTGCCGGACTGCTTCCACTCCGCTCCGAGTCGGTGTTCATTGTTCTGTCCGCATTTGATATTCCAACTTTAAAATCCTGGTCTATTTTATCTGATCCCTCCATTCAAGCTGGGGGCAGTTGGACACTTAGAAAATTTGGCCGTTTGTCCCCAAGTGGAGAGGGCAGCGTGAAGGAAAGTGAGAGTTTGCTCCTCATGCCCTCAGGGTATCACTCAACTTTGTCACAATACCACACCACATTAATTCTGAATTAAAATTAGCCAAAACAATTTGTAGTGAAAACTATAATTTTGGTTTGAAAGTGCGTGTCTGCAAAGTCAATATATCGTGAAAAATATCCAGAGTCGTGGACAAGAAAAAAGAGGGTGCAAGACAGTGAAACTCAGTCTTCAGTGGGTCTCCGTCATCGATGCCCAGAAAATTGAACAAAGAATCGCGATGGTCTGACCGACCTTCATCCCACAAACTTCACCAAAAAGCACAAGTCAAAAATAATCTCTCCTCTGCGAAGCTACTGATACTGGATTTCTCTCGTCCTAGTTATTGTTTAGTATTTAGTGTTTAGACCTACATTAAAGGAAATTTGAAAGTGAAAATTACGTGGATTGTTTACGCGTCGTTTATTATTGAGGTTATTCTAAAGAGTCGAAATTATCTGAAAGTCATAAAGCGAAAGATTAAGAAGCACAATTTACGCAGTACTGCTACAGTGCCGCGTAAATTGTGCTTTAAATATTTCGTTTTATATCTTAAAATTGGTTGCCCTTATAATCTAATGTTGAATTCGTTTAAATAAGTGCCTCGTAGGTTCGCCGTCAAATTTCGCCAAGCTAAAGGGATTAAAGCGATCTTGCAGATGATTTAAAATTTTGCTTGTTTTGCTTTCCGTAGAAATAATTCGATTAATTCTCGCATTGAAATAAAGGTTTATTTCTACCTTAAGAAATTAGTGCGAAAGAAATGTGATGCTAGTAAAATTTAATGTTTCAGTTCCTTAAACAAATTTGGATTTGATAGCAAGTCTTTAAATCTTTATGTTTTTCTGCTTAATAATTATTTAAACTGTCCTGTCTTTAAGTTCCCACGAGATTCGAAGCTTTAGTCACGATGGTCACGTTAGCCGACTGTACCAGCACTGCGTGACGATCGTGACAATAGCCCAAATAGCGTGGAAATACGGTCGTGACTGGAATGGATACTTCAAATCGGGATTCCGATAAATGACTGGAACTAGCCAAATATATAATTTTTAATATAACAAAATGATCTTAACTATATGGTTCCAGGCCTATATCCGAAACCCAAATTTGAAGCATCAATTGAAGTCACCACCGAGAAGGTGCCCTACAGCGTGAAAAGTTAAGACTTAGCAAAAATGTTTATTCTAGCTGTTTACTTAAGGCTATCCGAAATTTAGGTCAAGTTAACCTGATTTTTCACACAGCCCAAGGAAATCTATTCTATGTCCTTCTTAAAAATAAGGATCTAGAGCAGATTACCACAGCTGTCTGATTAATCAAGTATTTCCTTATTTCGAAAATGGTTTAGTATCTAAAGCTGATATTATTAGTCTAACATCAACAGCCATGTTTGTTTGCCCATTGTTTTCAGTTGACCAAAAAACAATAGGTAAAAAAACCAGATGTTGATGTAACCGAAACTTAGTTTGATAAATTTGTTATAATCTGACGCAGGAAAAAGATGAAAATAAAATAAAATTTGGACCTATTTATGAGCGTTGTTTTGTTGTTACGGTTTTAGTTAAATTTTCAGCTATTCAGGTATGAAAAAGATGGAAATGAAATAAATTTGGACCTATTTATGAGCGTTGTTTCGTTTTACGGTTTTAGTTATTTTCAGCTAGTCAAAAAATATCAGTACAAAATTTGGCAATTATGGGAATGATTATATGCTATTTTTGTTTTTGTGCAATATTTTGGAGAGCTATAAATATTGTTAGGAAATGAAAAGCTTTAGGTTTAGAAGAGAAATCCTGAACCAGTTGCTCCCCCATGAGAGAGATTCTTAGTGACTATCAGCTCAATTTGATGTCATTTGTGAAAATCCACCCAAGCCAGACCAATGCCATTCAGTGCTCAGTTCTCTGCCCTCGAATCATCCGTCGACACACCTACTACGTGAGCCGGGGAGCACGTTCTTGCACCCCCGTTTTTCGTCCTCAACAGTGAAACATTCCCAGACATATTGTTTGCAGACAAGCAACTTTCTTGATCGAAATGGTTATTTATTATTTTTCCGGAAAAAGGCGTGGTATTATACCAAAATGAATGAATCCCTAAGAACATGAGAAGCAAACTCTCACCTTCCTTCACGCTGTCCTCCCCACTTGGGAACAAACGGCCAAATCTTCCAAGTGTCCAACTGCCCCCAGCATGAATTACAGGATCAGATAAAGTTTCCCAGGATTTCTCAGTTGGAATATCTCAGAGGACATCAGAATTCCCACCTTCTCAGATGCAGAGTTTCCACAGCCCAGCGGGGACGAGGTTGGCTAGATTTAAATATGACCTTTCCCAACTGATGGGCTCCTAATCTTGTGCGTGTGCCACCTGAGGCTGAAATTAAATAAGAACCAAACACTTTAAGTAGTAAATGCAAGCCCATTAGCACTTATTAAACATAATTGCCTTGTATCCTTGGTGTTACAACACAGCGCCCGGAAGGAAAAGGATGTAAAGAGTTAAACTATTACTAATAAATCTAGTCTGTTACTAGTTATATAGTGGCAGATCACTACCCGCAAAGAACGAAATTCTAACCTACACAGCTCCTATAGAGAAAAAAAAATAGGCAAAAAAATCATTTTGTTTAAATCCCTAACCTGTTTCAGAAAGCAGGAACTTTGTAACACCAAGAAATGAAGACATACACATTATACCTACAGAGAGTTTAACAGAATGTTGTGATGGTGATCAATAGTCTGGAAACCTGGAATGTGTTGAAAGCTTAATTCTTAAACTTTTAAAAGGCATTGCACTAATGCACATCTGAGCAAGAAGTGACATTAACAGACCTAACTTTTCTTTCTAGATTTAGACTAAAAATGCAAGTTTGAGGTACCATGTAGACCAGTGATCACCTTAAACAGTAAAATATATATATATATAACCTAAAAAATAATTATTCTGGGATGGGAGGCAGTGGTTTGTATTAACCTAACATGGTAAATCTATGAATCCATTAGTTATAGGTAAATATTGTGCACTCCTTGGTTTGTTTTGTAGTTGTTTTTCTCCTCTTTGAAAGTGCCTTATTGTTTGAAGGAAAAAATCAAAACTTTCGTCTGTCTGTTGAAAAAGTTGATGGAAAAATGTATTCAAATGAGAATGATTCAATTATGAACAATTTTTGCTGCTTGTGGCTTAATTCAAGCCAACTGGAACTTAATTCGAGGTCTTGAGTGTGCTAATGAGCTTGCTGTATGTTAGGAAATAATATGAAATCCTATTGGCCATTTTCACCATGGCTTCACTTGACTTGCAATACTCCCAGAATTCTCATTACTTTCCCTTACGTTAGCTTATTTAAATCCAGTAATCCCAGCAAGGTTAAAACAACAATAGCCTAAACTGACCCTTGAAAAACTACAGGATTCTGGTTGACAGTTGCAGTCATGTGGTGCCATTCTGCAAATGGCTGACTGATTATTGTAAGCAAAGGAAGCATTATTACCAATCAAATCCCACCAAAAAAGAAAAGTGGTCACATTTTAAGAGGAGAAAAAAAATATATATACTTTCCTGATTTCATCCCCCAGATAAATTTATACACTGCATTAATTTGTTTTTCAAAATAAGATAAACTATAAATATTTAATACTGTAGCTAGCTGATTTGTTTTTCAAAATAAATTTGTGACTTCCCCTCAAAACATTTTTGTTACCTTTGAGTTTAAAACGGTTGAACACTTATTTTATAAATTATTATTATTATGCCCACTTTTTAGTCGCTTCCTTTGCTTATAAATCAGTAAAAACACCCTGCTAGGAAGATCAAGATGTCTAAAAGTGGTATTTTTCCCAGATTACTTGTCTAATTAAGTTAATGGGAGATGTAGAAGACAGGTAATGCCTGTGACCTCCTTTAAGATCTTGACAGCAAGGTGTTGATTTTCATTACAATGTCCAGTAATAATTTCTAATAATGAATAAATTAATCAATGTTCCCAACTAGTTATGCCTAGTAATGTTAAACAAGATTCCATTGAGCAGATTAAAAAACAGGTTCAGCAGCTACAGGATTAATTAGAATGATGTCAATTAGAATAGAGACCTTATGTTAATTACTCTACTTGCTGCTGAAAACAGGCAAGTTATTGCTTTTAATGACACAAACTGGTAAATTAAATTATTTTTCCTAAATTGCTGGCCAGTTAAACTGATCAGTCATCTAATTCATACTGAAATCTTGTAACTTCAGTTTCTGAAAAAAGGCAGTTACCGTAGACTAAAAATAACCCAGATATGAATGCATCCAGCATGTGTCATGGAAACCCTTGCCCAATTTCAGAGTGAGGAATTTTGACTTTCCTGGCCAGCTACCTTATTTAAGACCTGAATTGCGGTGTTCTTCGTCAAGGTCAAAAATGGTAACTAACATAATCAATTTCAGACCCTTGTTACAGAAGGAAAAATACTTATGCTATTTCAGACCCAAATTTTTTTTAAATTATTGTTGTAGAATCAATTCTAAAATAAATACACCCAATTTTACTAATACCCAAAAGGCTAAAAACAAAAACTATGGTGTCGCATAGGCCTATCATTTGTAGCCTTAAGGGAGTACCCCCAGCCCTTGAGATTTCTAGAGGAAGGAAATATATCTGAGAAAACATAATATTTGGTCCAAGCTATTTATGCTTTGGCAACCATCACCTGAATTGACAGATACTAACAGACAAGCTTAGGAACTGCTGGGAGTGAAGTGAGAAGGTAACCATAGAAACCGGCAACCAGAAGCCTCTACAAGTGGACCCACTGATTTACTCTCAAAATATTGTTGGCGAAATTTGTTGCACTGATGGTTGCCAATAACCAGCTGATCATGAATTACACTCTGTACCCTGGGGTGAGAAATCCTTATATTCATCCCTATCTATGATGGCAACTATAGCTACAATAGTGGTCTAAATTCCAGGCATCTAATCGAGTTGCAAACTCAAAAGAGAATTTTCAGGAGTCTGCGAAAGAAAAGAATTGTGCTGAAATGCGAACTAAATGTTCCTTACACTTCATCAGATTGTTGACTCACAGTGAATTTGGAGCGAAAGGTAAAAGTTTAGACCATTCATGGTCCCCTTTTTTTTCGGATGGCTGAAAGTCAGCTGAGAGATATTTTGGATGGTCGTCTCTATTAATGTGTAAGTGAGAGATAATATTATTTTTATATCAACCAAATAAACAAGTTTCAAAAATAATTTACTGCTCAATGGAATCTTGTTGGCAGAAGCTTAAAAACCTTATTAAGTGGCTGTACAAACAAGCATCTAGGAATAATTTGCCAATATTTAAGAGCAAAACTTTACACTCCTAGTGAGCTATCCAGTGAAATGGTAAAAAATGCTGATACCGGTTAGTGTGATGTCTTTGCGATTTTCAACGACCTGATGTATGTAGATGCAGATAATTGACACTTTGTAATGGCTTTGTTTGTACAATGGTGGCACACACACTGGAATTGTTATAACCTATTATTACTTTAAGACAATCAATAAATACTTTCAATTTGTTGCATGACTGAAATTAAGTGCCTATTGATGTATATAAATTTTAGAGATGTTTTAAAGAATAAATATTCATCTGGTTCCTAAATCTCCTGATGTGCCCTATAAGATGTTTTTCAACACCTTACAGATTATGATCTCTAAGACTCTACTGAGCAACAATGTTTTTCAGTCATGAACAACAATTGGGCAATTAAATGATTGCTTAATAGTAATAAAAAAATGTGATATAAAATGGTTAAGCTGCCAGCCTTGTGTGAAAAAAAGTTTAGTGAATGGGGGTTGTGGAACAACAGCTGGGTGAAAAACCTCCCCGTACGTCCACTTGCTCCTAGGAGGAAAACCCCAGGCCAGCTGTACCCCGCATTCAGACCTCCCGGGCAGGGTCAAAAATTTGCAGTTTTGGTCATTTATGATATATTATTATATAATGGAAACCAACTGGCTTTCTGTTAGTGCTACCTAATATTTTATGAGGGATGGTGAAATGGTTAAATAAAAGCCTTGCCCGGATGCTCAGGCTAAAAAATAAAACTTCTAAAAATCTCTGTTAAGACAAAAAATCCACGACTCAAAAGGAAACTCAAAAAATGAGACTGATGATGAAAGTTTCCGGAACAATTTCCTGGGTACCTATTCACCACCCCTTTTATGGAGCAAGAACAATTTCCCGCTTCTTAATAATAGTTTTGTAAATTATTTTAAAAGTAATCATCACAAACATTACGATTGATGATGTCTTAGAAACCATAATATGAGCTTGATGTTAAAAGTCATACCATACCTTACCAAACCATAATGCAGCCATATGAACAAGTCCTGGCCAGTCTCCCCAGCAAATATAATGAGCCATATACCAAACCACACCATAACAGATATCAACAGCTTGATGCTATCCATCACCTTGCCTTTCCATGCACAGTTTTCTATCAGAAAAAACCTGTCATAAGTATCAATTTGCTATCACTTGGCAAGCTCCTATTATTTGGAACGATATTCCATTAACTAGCTGTGCACAATAATCTCAAAGTAAGTAAATTTTACAAAAAACTTAAGACTGTATTTTTCTGAGTTGACAATTAGCCTACGCATAATCTGTACACCTTGTGAGACTATACTAGGTGTATTTGTTTGTATTTGTTTGTGTGGTTTATAGGAATTATTAGTTGTTTAAATATTTGAAATTAGTTGCCAAGTATTGTATTTCAGTTGTAAGTTTTTTCTGACTGACCTTTTCTTTCTTGATTTAATTGTATTGTAATTATTTTAGTTAAAGCCTTCTTCTATTCCTGTAAATTCTTCACGTCTTTTTTGCTGACCTTACACCATTTAAGCCCCCGGCTTTGGCTGTTCTTGTGTATTTTTTCGTTCAGTGTGTGATGTGTATTAATAAAGTTAAGTTACATCACAGACGTTGACGTTGAGTTCGGTCATGAATGTAGTTCAGTCTAGTTATTGTTTGGTTGATGTTACTAACCTCGAAGTCTAGCCTCTATGCAGTCCATTTTCCATACCAGCTGCCAGGAGCTCAATGTTGAATCTAGCACTTATTTCGTTATTGTTCCCAATGCTGTCCTCTAGTTCATTCCATATACCAAGAGCTATACCTTTTTTGTACCACAATAACAGGACCTTGTTGCATTCTCCATCATGATGATGTTGTTGTTGCCTTTCCACTTTAATGTAAACTTGGTTTACCACCATTCCTTTCCCTTTCTGCCTGAAAAAAAAAGAAACATGACTCACTAAATGTAAATTTGAGTCACAAAATATATGAATTTTATTTACTTATTCCACCTGACTACGTAAAACCCCTCAAATTTATCTTAGAAAGCTAACATCATGCAATGCCGGTTTTTTGCAACAAAAAGTTAAAATCAAGAGACGGTGCATGCCTGTAAGAATTAAGCCAGGCTCAGAAAAACCCTCTCTTCCAAGGGCACAGCTACCTGAATGCATGGCATAAATGTGCATACTGAAAACGTTCAAGGGAAAAAAATAAAACTATGAAAGGTTTCAACCTATGAGTCATTTAGGGCCTGTTTATATAGAGGAGGGGGACCGCAGGTAGATGAGGTAACCCGTTTAGGTGGGGTAACCCGCCTGTCCATATAATCCCTCATTTTAATTTAATCACGTTTACATGATAGGTGGGGTGACCCGCCAAATGTTACCTCACCCACCTGTAGTCCCCCACCTCCATGTAAACAGGCCCTTAATAAGTAAGTTGAGTATGATCATCTGGGTGAACACAGTTCTGAATAGGACAGTTGTTGACAGTAACTGCTGTTTCAACAATGTGTGCCGTAGTCATTTACAGAGTCATGCACAGGTTGTTGAAATGTCAGTCACTGTCAACAACAGTCCTTTTCAGGATTACATTCACCCAGACGATCATACTCAACTTACTAATGAAAAAGGAAAAATACAGAACAAAACAAAAATAGAAAGACAATACAATAAAGAAAAGGAAATATTAAAATAAAAGGTAAAACTTAAAAAGTATAGTTTGCTTTTTAACTCTGTTTGTTTCTTTCCGGTATTTTTTCTTACAACAAAGCGCAGATACAGGAGAGTATGAGGCATGGATGACAAGCATGACTAAGGCAACTAGGCTGACTAGAATGACTGGGGAGACTGGAATGACCAGGATGACTGGAGGACTGAGATGACTTGAATAATTAGGATAATTTGGGGTGAGGGGCTGGTTGATTTTAGAAAAAATATATACATTTACACTGTATATCCTGGAAGTGCATATAGGTAGGAAAAGAATCCTGCATAACTCCTCTGTCCAAAAAAACATTCACGCACATTCAATGGGCTGATAAAAAAACCTGCTCAAAATGCTTCCTGGGTTGACAGTATGAACTTCATTTCCCAACTGTTATGATAAAAAGATTTTGTATTAATTTTTGTACTTGCATTCCGGCTAAGAAGGATTCACAGCATAAGGATCTTTTCCTCTCAAATGGCTTTTTCTTATCATCTAAAATAATTTGCATGTTTTAAAAAATCTTTGTCAGTATTCAATTTGCGCTCAGCTTCGCCCATGGAAAGCTTTTTTGATGCTGTGGACACCGAGTGGCCATGATCATGAGGGCGGGAAAACCCTTCTATTCCTGTTCACTGTTTCAGTCTTACAGGACTTAAACATAAAAGATGGGTAAAATCCTAACAATAGTGTAAAAAAGAACAGCCTGTATTTGGCCATCTCTTTCAGGATGTTAAGAGATACTTCTTCTAAACAAGTGTATTGCATTTCAATACGTGATAATTGCCACATTGCGTCGCCGGTTGCAGATGAAAGTTTTTTCAAGTCACCGCATGAATGTGTTGTGGTTACAATTGACAATCACTTTTGTTTGCAAGTAAGTAAGTACTTTTCTCTTGAATTTAGTAAAGTGGTGATTAGGTCGCAAATCAGAGCTTTTCTGCCTGGGGCAACTGCCCACTGGTGTGAAATGATGATCTTGTCTTGCAAGTCAAGTTTCAGTGACTACTCACAAGGTAACACAGGGTAACACAGGGTAACACCAGGTAATACAGGGTAACACAGAGTAACACAGAGTAACACAGGGTAACACAAGGTAACACAGAGTAACACAGGGTAACATAAGGTAACACAGGGCAACACAGGGCAACACAGGGCAACACAGGGTAACACCGGGTAATACAGGGTAATACAGAGTAACACAGAGTAACACAGGGTAACAAAGGGTAACATAAGGAAACAGAGTAACACAGGGTAAGACAGGGTAACCAAGGGTAACACGGCGTAACACACAGCAACACAGAGTAACTAAGGGTAACACAAGGTAACACAGGGCAACACAGGGTAACACCAGGTAATACAGGGTAACACAGAGTAACACGGGGTAATAGAGAGTAACATAGGGTAACAAAGAGTAACACGGAAACACAGAGTGACACAGGGTAACACAGGATAACACAGAGTAACACAGGGTAACAAAGGGTAAAACAGGGTAACACATGGCAACACAGAGTAACTAAGGGTAACATAGGGTAACACAAGGTAACACAGGGCAACACAGGGTAACACCAGGTAATACAGGGTAACACAGAGTAACACAGGGTAACACAGGGTAACACAGAGTAACACAGGGTAACATAAGGTAAAACAGGGCAACACAGGGTAACACCGGGTAATACAGGGTAATACAGAGTAACACAGAGTAACACAGGGTAACAAAGGGTAACATAAGGAAACAGAGTAACACAGGGTAAGACAGGGTAACCAAGGGTAACAATGGGTAACACAGGGTAACACAGGGTAACAAAGGGTAACACGGGGTAACACACACCAACACAGAGTAACTAAGGGTAACATAGGGTAACACAAGGCAACACAGGGCAACACAGGGTAACACAGGGTAACACCAGGTAATACAGGGTAACACAGAGTAACACAGGGTAACAGAGAGTAACATAGGGTAACAAAGAGTAACACAGGGAAACACAGAGTGACACAGGGTAACACAGGATAACACAGAGTAACACAGGGTAACAAAGGGTAAAACAGGGTAACACAAGGTAACAAAGAGTAACAAAGGGCAACACAGGGTGATACAGGGTAACACAGAGTAACACAGCGTAACAAAGGGTAACATAAGGAAACAGAGTAACACAGGGTAAGACAGGGTAACCAAGGGTAACAATGGGTAACACAGGGTAATAAAGGGTAACACGGGGTAACACACAGCAACACAGAGTAACTAAGGGTAACATAGGGTAACACAAGGTAACACAGGGCAACACAGGGTAACACCAGGTAATACAGGGTAACACAGAGTAACAGGGTAATAGAGAGTAACATAGGGTAACAAAGAGTAACCCAGGGAAACACAGAGTGACACAGGATAACACAGAGTATCACAGGGTAACAAAGGGTAAAACAGGGTAACACAAGGTAACAAAGAGTAACAAAGGGCAACACAGGGCGATACAGGGTAACACAGAGTAACACAGGGTAACAAAGGGCAACACAGGGTAACACAGGGTAACAAAGGGGTAAAACAGAGTAACACAAGGTAAGACAAGGCAACACAGAGTAACTGAGGGTAAGATAGAGTAACACAAGATAACAAACAGTAACACAGGGTAAGAGAGGGGAACACAGGGTAACAAAAAGTAACACACGGTAATAAAGGGAAACACAGAGTAACACAAGGTAACACAGAGTAACACAGGGTAACACAGGATAACACAGAGAAACACAGGGTAACAAAGGGTAAAACAGGGTAACACAGGGTAACAGAGACAACACAGAGTAACACAAGGTAACATAAGGTAACACAGAGTAACACAGGGTAACACAAGGTAAAACAACAACAACACCAACATAAGCTTTATTTACATGACTATAATTATGTAGGTACAGTATTGTAAAAGCTTTAACGTAAAGTTACAATTTATAACAATGATAAGGCAATGCAATGATTACTACAGTCAATCAAATGTCATCAGCATGATTTGATAACAAATTAGTACGTAAATCATTACATAATGAGACAAATTTCAACAAATGTGAATTTACGGAAAAAATTATGTGAATTCATCAGTTTAATTATTAATTCTGTGTAAGATAGCTGATTAAAGTCGACAAAATTTTGTTGGATTTGATTTTAGAATTTCTCCCTTGGGATTGAATATTTTGGACAATGGAAGAGAAAATGAAATTCGTCTTTACTTATACCAGAGTTACAAATAGGGCAAAATCTATCGTTGCAGGAAGTTTGATTATATCTTCCAGTTTCCATCATGAGTTTGTGTGTTAGACAGGGTAACATAGCCTCCCACGCAGGCGTTTTTTAGGGGAGCTCGTTTTTCATCCCTCCCCACAAATGCCTGCTCATCCAAAGACAACATTCCTTTCCCATGCTCAGCCAATCACATTGTACTTTTCAAATTCTGGAAAGTTAACCTTAACCATAAGGTAATCTGATAATTACTCAATCTGCATGAAACACTGGAAAAAGTTTCTAACCTCCAATAAATGTTAGATTTCGAATGGCAAAAATAAGATTTAATCAAATTTTAGAATATTCCATGCACTTCATAACCTTAATGAAGGAAAGAAAAGAAGGAAAACGGTAACTGTAGGGTCATGTTTTAGTCGTCTTTAGCCTGTCAACACCTTATTGCACAACTGTTTATTGGTCACTTACCACGAAAATAAAACAATGGGAAAGGAATGTTGTTTCCGGCTGAACAAGCGTTTGTGGGGAGGGATGAAAAACGAGCTCCCCTTAAAACGCCTGCGTGGGAGGCTAAGGGCAACACTGCCTAACAGAGGGTAACATAAGGTAACAAAAAGTAACGGGAAACAAAGAGTAACAGAGGGTAACACAGGGTAACAAAGAGTAACACAGGGTAACACAGGGTAACACAAGGTAACACAGGGAAACAAAGAGTAACAGAGGGTAACACAGGGTAACAAAGGGTAACGCAGGGTAACAAAGGGTAACAGGGTAAGACAGGGTAACAAAGGGTAACACAGGTACAGTACCGTTCAAAAGCAAGTTGACAGTCCATTGCGAGTCTCGATTCTCTTCTCGATTCCTGCACGAATAGAGGATCGAGAATCGAGAACAAACTATCGAGAATCGAGTGGAGGAACGAGTCTTGCAGGACAGAAAACAAAAGATTTACCCATGACTGGATAATTTTGTACGGCTGTAACACAACGCGGCATGGGTATACAGTCGACTCCTGATAACTGGAACCCTCACTAACTCGAACCAAAATCGATTTCCCCTGGATTTCCGTCATGCATTCACTGCAATTTTACCCTCGGTAACTCGAACCCCACTATAACTCGAACTCCCGCTTACACGAACCAATTTTCGTTTCCCCTCAGGTCATTTTCTATATGACTTTACCCTCGATAACTCGAACCATGTTTTGAGCCCCTAAAAAGTCGGGAAAAAAGCCGTCTACTAGCGTCCGAAACATAGAATTTTTTAATTCCGATTGACGTGTTGTAGGAGTATAGTTTACTAGTGGAGGCTAGTGTTGATGGTCACAGGCGAACGTGAAGCAGCTTTACTTCTCAAAACAGTAAAACGCATGCTCTATTTAGGCTTTGTTTTGTTACGTTACGTTCTCATTTATAATCTAGAAGTATTTTTTAATTTTCACTCGATATTTCCACAATTAAATGTGATTAAAATGTTGACTGTGCAGTAAAAACTGTTTTTTAACTTACTCTCGGCTATTTTCTTCGAGGACCAGATAACTCGAACTTTTTTCGATTTCCCTTGAAGGTTCGAGTTATGG